TTGGTTGTTTTATAGTTATTGTACTTTCCCTTTTATGTTCTCTACACGGCTTCCAGAGGCCTTTCTGGGGTGGTTTATAAACTATAATGTCAACTATCAAATAATAAATAAATGTGATGGGTCTGACCTAATGTAGGCCCATTAGCATCTGGTTCAACATGAAGGTGTTTTGACAGAGCCAAATAGCATTATTGAGCCAAAAAGAGCTGTTAAAATGTGGTTTTTAAGAAGGCTGAACCAAAGGTTATCCACAAAAAGTTTCACACCTAAATTTGAGCACAGGAGACATGGAAAAGCGGGGCTGAATGCTACCTGGCAATTTTCAAGGGGGTAAAATTGGGGGAACCATTACTTCACATTACTATTGAGCTCCTCTCAGAAGCCCCATTGGCGACCACACTTTTCTCACCTCAAAACCCCTCTGATGTTACATTACTTGGTGATGTAGTGTCACTGTGATGGAGGCTTCTGGGGGCAAAAGGGGGTGCAGCCATTTTGTTACAAGAGTCCCCACCAGATCATTACTTTGTCATGATGTAGCATAGTTCCTGGGAGGGGGAAGGCAAAGAATATCTCAGTACTGAACATTATTATTATTATTATTATTATTATTATTATTATTATTATTTATACCCCGCCCATCTGGCTGGATTTCCCCAGACACTCTGGGTGTCTTCCAACAAAACACTAAAATACAATAACCTATTAAACATTAAAAACTTCCCTAAACAGGGCTGCCTTCAGATGCCTTCTAAAAGTCAGATAGTTGTTTATTTCCTTGACATCTGACAGGAGGGCGTTCCACAGGGCGGGCGCCACCACCAAGAAGGCCCTCTGCCTGATTTCCTGTAACTTGGCTTCTCACAGCAAGGGAGAAGGCCCTCAGCGCTGGACCTCAGTGTCCAGGCAGAACGATGGAGGTGGATACGCTCCTTCAGGTATACTGGGCCGAGGCCGTTTAGGGCTTTAAAGGCACCAGCACTTTGAATTGTGCTCGGAAACGTACTGGGAGCCAGTGTAGGTCTTTCAAGACTGATGTTATATGGTCTCGGCAGCCGCTCCCAGTCACCAGTCTAGCTGCCGCATTCTGGATTAGTTGTAGTTTCACCTTTGTAGGTCACCTTCAAAGGTTGCCCCATGTAGAGCGCATTGCAGTAGTCCAAGCAAGAGATAACCAGAGCATGCACCACTCTGGCGAGACAGTCCGCGGGCAGGTAAGGTCTCAGCCTGCATACCAGATGGAGCTGATAAACAGCTGTCCTGGACACAGAATTGACCTGTGCCTCCATGGACAACTGTGAGTCCAAAATGACTCCCAGGCTGTGCACCTGGTCCTTCAGGGGCACAGTTACCCCATTCAGGACCAGGGAATCCTCCACACCTGCCCGCCTCCTGTCCCCCCAAAACAGTACTTCTGTCTTGTCAGGATTCAACCTCAATCTGTTAGCCGCCAACCATCCTCCAACCACCTTCAGACACTTCACCGCCTTCACTGGTTTCGATTTGAAAGAGAGGTAGAGCTGGGTATCATCCGCATACTGATGAACACCCAGCCCAAACCCCCTGATGATCTCTCCCAGCGGCTGCATGTAGATGTTGAAAAGCATGGGGGAGAGGACAGAACCCTGAGGCACCCCACAAGTGAGAGCCATGGGGTCTGAACACTCATCCCCCACCACCACTTTCTGAACACGGCCCAGGAGGAAGGAGCGGAACCACTGTATAACAGTGCCCCCAGCTCCCAGCCCCTCTAGATGGTCCAGAAGGATGTTATGGTCAATGGTGTTAAAAGCCGCTGAGAGATCCAGCAGAACTAGGAAACAGCTCTCACCTTTGTCCCTAGCCCGCCGGAGATTATCGACCAGGGCAACCAAGGCAGTTTCAGTCCCATGATGAGGCCTGAATCCCGACTGGAAGGGATCCAAATGGTCCGCTTCTTCCAGGCGTGCCTGGAGTTGTTCAGCAACCACTCACTCAGTCACCTTGCCCAAGAATGGAAGATTTGAGACTGGGCGATAGTTGGCCAAATTGGCAGCATCTAAAGATGGTTTTTTAAGAAGCGGTTTGATAGTCACCTCTTTCAGCAGGTCTGGGAAGGCTCCCTCACAGAGAGAAGCATTCACCACCCACGCCCAGCCCTTCCCAGCTAGCTTTTATAAGCCAGGATGGACAAGGATCAAGGAGACAGGTGGTTGGTTTCACTCGTCCAAGCAGCCTGTCCACATCCTCGGAGGTAACAGATTGGAATTGATCCCACGCAACTTGACTAGACAGGACTCCAGCACTCTCCCTCCCCAGCCCTGCTCCCACGGTGGAGTCTACCTCTTCCCGAATCGGAGTAACTTTATCTGGAAAAAAACTTTGCAAAATCATTGTAGGAGATCATGTGGCCCGTACTAGGCCCCAATGTAGCAGGTGGTTCCACTAAATTGCGAACCACCTGAAAGAGTCTCCTGCTGCTGTTTTCTGCAGATGCAATAGAGGCGGTGAAGAAAGTCTTCTTCGCCATCGCTACCGCCACTTGGTAGGCTTGACATTGAGCTCTAACCCGTGTCCGGTCAGCTTCAGAATGAGTTATCCGCCACCGGCACTTTAGCCGTCTCATCGATTGTTTCATCGCCCTCAAATCCGTGGAAAACCACGGGGCTGTCTGGGCTCCATGCAATCAGAGAGGGCGCTTCGGAGCCAGACAGTCGATAGCCCTGGTTAACTCCGCATTCCAACAGGCCACCAGGGAATCAGCTGAAAGGCCATCAACATGGGATAAAGCATCCCCTACAACTCTCTGGACGCGGGTGGCGCTGTGGGTAAAACCTCAGCGCCTAGGACTTGCCGATCGCATGATCAGCAGTTCGAATCCCCGCGGCGGGGTGCGCTCCCGCCGTTCGGTCCCAGCGCCTGCCAACCTAGCAGTTCGAAAGCACCCCCGGGTGCAAGTAGATAAATAGGGACCGCTTATCAGCGGGAAGGTAAACGGCGTTCCGTGTGCTGCGCTGGCTCTCCAGATGCAGCTTGTCACGCTGGCCACGTGACCCGGAAGTGTCTGCGGACAGCGCTGGCTCCCGGCCTATAGAGTGAGATGAGCGCACAACCCTAGAGTCTGGCAAGACTGGCCCATACGGGCAGGGGTACCTTTACCTTTACAACTCTCTGGAAACCATTTGGATCCAGTAAGTGGCGGGGGTGGACCATCTGAATTGGTCCCACCTCCCTGCAGAGGGGAAGGGTCGTGGAGAAGTCCATTTGCACCAGGAAGTGATCTGACCATGGCACTTCTTTCGTTTTGCTTTTACTTAATGTCAGATCACCAACATCCATAGAGGTGAACACCAGGTCTAAGGCATGTCCGCAGCTATGGGTTGGGCCAAACTTATTCAGGGACAGCCCCATGGAGGCCATGCTTTCCACAAAGTCCCAATCAGTCCCTTGTAAGGTTGTGTCGGCATGGATGTTAAAATCCCCTAGGACAACCAAACTAGGTGTCTCCAGGAGAACATCCGCCACAACCTGAAGCAGCTTGGGCAGGGAATCCTTGGTGCAGCGGGGAGGTCGGTACACCAAAAGGAATCCTGTACTGCCCCTATTGCCCAACTTCCAGAACATGCACTCAGAGAACTGGGTGTTCCCAATAGGATGCCTGGTGACTTCCTAAAAATCACTGCAACCCCCCCCCCCCCCGCCCACAAGGCCTGGGTTGCTGTGCATAAGAGAAACCTGGTAGACAAGCAGCGGCAAGGGCAGGCCCATCTGCTTCACCCAACCAAGTCTCTGTTACACATGACAGGTCAAGTCCTCCATCCATGATGGCAGTGGATGGCAGTGGTCTTATGAATCATTGACCTGGCATTGCACAGCGGCACCTTCACGTCATGTGGGTATCCCTTGCTGATTCTAGTATCCGTCCGGTCAGGACCAGACCCGGAGGCAGGGATAGTCCTCAAACAACGACTAATCCTGCCTCCTCTGTAATGACACGGTCTGGTCTTAGCATAACTCCTCCTCCTACCTGTGATCACTGAGATCGGTTGTCCCAGTGCATCCCCCCTGTGGAACATGCCCCAGCCATTTTGTTGGCTGGGACCCACTCCCCGGCAGCCCTCCCCTTAAGAACAAAATAAAACTCTTTTAAAAAAAACCACAATAAAACAATACTAACAAAAAACTGTAAAAATTACAAACACATCAAAATCAAACAAATTCCCAAGCCCAACCAAACATCCATCCCACCCCCCACCCCCAAAAAAAATTCAAAAGGGAAAAAGAAAATTTCAAAACATTTTAAAAAGAACTCTGCACCCCTCCGAGTCCTCCTGGACAGCAGCAGCAGTAGCAGCAACCGTCCTTATGAGGCCTGTCAGGCCCCACCCTGGGCCAAGTAGTGAGTGGCAGGAGCAGGGCCCTTAGGCACTCACGCAGGAGTCCTTCCTATGCACTGGAGATTGCTGTCCATTGGGATTTGTGGGGTGGAAGGAGGAGAGGCCAACAGGATGTGGAGCCAGAGCCAATGACAGGCAGAACCAATTAATAGTTTTGTCCCAGTCTTCCTCCCTACTGCTGAGATGTAAAAGGAGCAATACTGAGATCAAGGAGGATGGAGCTGGCAGACAAGGCAAGCCCCTTGACTACTTGTAAGTAGGAAGGAAGGCAGGTGGGGCTGGCTGAGGGCAGGCTGAGGTTGGTGGGGCAGTTCCCCCTGCCCCCCAGTGGGCCAACCTCCACTGTTCCTATCAGTAGTCATCAAGACCAAATCTGGTAACCATTTGGCAGGAACACAAATGATCAGAGTTGCCTATATTCTGTCTGTACTCCAGGTATGCTAGCTTTCCATGTATGGAAATGAGGACCTGGTGCTCAATTTGTCATCCCAATGGCCTCTGGTTCTCATCTCTTTTGAAATAAAGACAGTGTCTAACATGTGGGGTGGGAAAGTGTTAAGGCATATAGGAACATAAAAATAAACAATGCAAAGAAGATGCAAATAGACTTAAATAATTTATTCTGGGCACCAGATTTGGTAAATTGGGGAGATGGTGCAGTATACAGAAGGCCCCAGCAGTTGCCAAGGCTATTAACACTGATACTGTCCATTTCTTAGACTGTACCTCCCAAAAGAAGTTTGCATCCAGTCATCCTATATAAGCCAAGTGCACTGAATATGCTATTGCTACTTAACATATTTTAATAGATTGCCAACATAAAAAAAACTTTTTTTGCAAGTTCACAAGTGCAGGTCAAGCAAAATCTTTAGAAACAGCCTCTACAAAATTGGGGGCCGACATTAAGATGCCAATGGTACAAATTATTGTGAAGACCGAAAAAGCCATCAAACAGAGGCGGTCCACAACAGAAGCAGCAAACTTCCATTCATTGCAAATGGCTTCTGCCTCATCCTGGTCTCGGAACCGGTTGGCGATATATCGGACCTCCTCTAGGATCTTTGCCAGTTCTGGGTCAGTTTCAGACGGATGTCCACTGTGAAGGAGGTTGTCTTCGTCAGTCGGGGAGCAAGTCATTCTCCCACAAATCACACCGGAATCAGTGGTAGGGGTGCAATGGACACCTTCCAGGCCTCTGAAGCCTATGTAGAGCATATTCCCATTACTGGATTGCTGCCCACTCACAGTGTTTACATCTATGCTGGACATACTGCATCGACGCTGTTTATGCTGGCATGCTGGTCGCACTTTGTCCTCCCCTGGTCTTTTCATTCTCAGGAACCAGGCACACCAGTTGAGAAGGATGATTCTGGTCTGGGAAACATGTATAAAAACACACCGTAGCTATTATATCTTGGAAGATATCTGGCCCCTTCCATGTTACTTGCTTGTCTAGCAATGGCCAATGAGCCCTGTGCCTGCACTCCACTCTGGTTTATACATTCAGTTGGGGGCTAGCACTACAAGAGTGTGGAGGAGGAGCAGTCTTTAAAGGGGAGCCCAAAGCACAGTGGAAGAGCACATTCTTAGCATGCAGGAGGTGCCAGGTTCAATGCCTAGAATATCCAGCCGCAACAGGGATGGGCGCCTGTGGCTCTCCAGATGTTGCTAGATAACTTTAGGAAGAAAGTAAGTGCTGTTGGACTATGAAATGGACTACTGTAGAAGGTGGTGGACCCTCCTTCACTGGAAGTTTTTAAATGGAGGTTGTATGGCCATCTGCCAGGGATTCTTTAGCAGTGATTCTTCATTGCAGGACTGGGCTGGATGACCCCTGGGGTCCCTACCAACTCTACAGTTCTATGATTCTTTCCGTCCCTACCTGTGACCCTCCAGATGTTATTTGACTCCTGCTTCCATCAGCCAACATGGCCAATGGTAAGGGATGATGGGAGTTTTAGTTCAGCAACATCTGGAGGGCCACATGTGCTAGTTACATGACTAGCCAGTCACATGAAGGCCAGCTTACACAATTCTCCCCTCAAAAGAGTGAGGGAAAGATCATATTACTTAGGTACACACTTGGATGGCCCAGGTTGTACTGGATGCTACAAAAAGGCTCCTGTTGCTTCTCTACTTCTTCTACTGCCAAACTGTCCTAGCTGAATGTATGAGCAGGGCTGGCCCACCCATGAGGCAAGATGAGGCAACCGCCTCAGGCAGCAGGATCCACGGGGGCAGCGGATTCCAATTTAGATCTTTCTCTCCCCTCCCCGCCCCGTTCCTGATGTAGTTCTTCCCTCACCCTTTCTTCCCTAGTGAGGAGAGGGGCTCCATTTTGGGGTCCACCTCAGGGGCCAAAATGTTTTTGGCTGTTGTGTATGAGCCAGGGTCTTGTGAAATCAAACCTCCCCATTGGCTTCTGAGCCACACATGTGCAAAGTGTCTTCCAGATAAACTACTTTACAAAAACCTTTTTGTTCAGATCTCAATCTCTCTCTCTTAAGACAATAATGTCTAGGCTTTGCAATTTGCCCAGTTTCCTCCTGTTTTCATCTCAAACTCTCCAAAATCAAAATACTGTTTTCAATCAAATTTAACACACTATTTTTAATCATCTTCAGTTTTGCATTTTTTATTGACAGTTCAAACTCTCTCGGTGCAGGAATGTTTAAGAGCTATTCTTAAACCAGATGTTGGGGATATATATATCACCTAATGCAAAAAAAAAAAAGATCTCACAGAAACTCATAAACCACTTTTGAATATCCTGTCTCCATCCTCTCTACTGTTTGTTAAGAAACTACCTGGTGATTAGCGAAATCAATGGTCCATCTTGCCTAGCACACTCAGCCCTGACTGGTAATAGCTCACAAAGGTCTCAAGCAGAAGTCCTGAGATCATTTTTATGGGAGGGCATCATGATGGACCTTGATGCCTTATTCCATACAGCCTAACATACTGCCTTTCATTTGACAACATAGAAGGAGTATGTATTTAAACATAGTGAAGTCTGAAGACACAAATGCATACATATGTTTGTTTGGGATGAGTAGAATCTGCTCCATTGGCTGAGATCTGACTGCAGTTTGAAGCACATCCAGCCACTTCATAAGTAAAGATTTTTAGAAATGTTTTTTGAAGTTAGAAGGATAGGAGACCAGGGACCAGGCAGAAAAATCCAAGGTTCAGGTCCCCTGAGCCACTCACTAGCAATGCTCCTGACCTGTTGCCTCCAGAACTCCACCTCCCATCATCCTTGACCATTGGCCATGGTGGCTGAAGGGCCACAGGTCCCCCATCTCTGATGTATGGCTGAACTATGCTTGCAAAGACATATGTGTTATCAAACCATTTCCGTTTGCTGCCTCATCCAACTAATATCTGGGGAACAAGAATGACTTGCCTGCTCCTGTAGCAGGACTGTGATCTGCAGGGTTTCAGTTATATATAGACAGGGAGGGGAAAATATGCATCATCTGGGCTCTTACCCACTTGGGCATTTTCCCCCCATCTGGATCATGGTGGTGATACTGCAAAACGATCACGGTAACCACAACTGAAAGTCCGACAATAATCATGGTGCTTGCAAAATACTGTGCTGCAAATGGAGAGAAGAAGAAGATGAAGAGGAGGAGGAGGAAATAATGACCAGGTTATGGGGAGAATTTAGGCTGCAGTGCCACTTCAAATAGCTGTCATTCACCTAATAGTCTAACATTGTAGTCCAAACGCTGTTGGATTACAACTCCCACCATTCCTGGCCATTGGCCATGCTGGCTGGGGACTGATGGAAGCTTGAGTCTAAGGACAGTCTGGAAAGCCATGGGAGAGAGGACAGTGCAGTTGGTACAGCATGAGACTTAATCTCAGGATCATGGGTTTGAGCCCTACATTGGGGAGATTCCTGCATGGCAGGGAGTTGAACTAGATGACCCTTGTAGTCCCTTCCAACTCCACAAATATTGGATAGCCCTACATCCTGGATCCAAAGGATGAAGTGCACAGAGCCCCCTGTGGATATGGGCATTTTATTCTATCCTGCCAGAAAGTAAGCACGGGATGAGTGCAAGACAGGAAATACTTCTGCACATGTGCAGTATTTAATTCCTTTTATTTATTCATTGCATTTATACCTCACCTCTCCTCCAAGGAGCCCAAGGTGGTGTCTCTGGTTCTCCACTTCTCCATTTTATCCTCACAACAAATCTGTGAGTTGGGTTAGACTGAGAGGCAGTGACCCAAGGTCACCCAATGCGGATTTGAACCCTGGTGTAACCACACTGACTCTCTTTTTATAGAATGAATGAAGAGATTAGAAGCCCCTACATGTTGGAGGCTATGGGTCATGGCAGTAGAATTAACCACTTAATTGGCTACCAGCATCACAGCATAAACCTTTTACTTTTAAGCATTGTAATTTCTTTCCTCACCGAATATTTGCCAACTGTGCAATTTCCTACCCCCAAACCATAAGCCAAGACTTCTAAACCAGTAAATCTACTGAATACACACAATTCCTGATCTATATTATTGTGGCCTTGTTGCAAGTTTGAATATAAAATTGCTCACTGAACATTAATACTGCTGTTACTCACCTATTAATGGCACTGAATCAGATGTCGCTGGCATAATTTCAGCCACCAGGAGCATAAACACTGTGAGGGAGAGTAAAACGGTGATTCCTGAAAGGCAAAGTGACAGACTAGAGAACTGGGCCAAAACAAACAAGATGAATTTTAACAGGGAGAAATGTAAAGTATTGCACTTGGGCAAAAAAAATGAGAGGCACAAATACAAGATGGGTGACACCTGGCTTGAGAGCAGTACATGTGAAAAGGATCTAGGAGTCTTGGTTGACCACAAACTTGACATGAGCCAACAGTGTGACACGGCAGCTAAAAAGCCAATGCAATTCTGGGCTGCATCAATAGGAGTATAGCATCTAGATCAAGGGAAGTAATAGTGCCACTGTATTCTGCTCTGGTCAGACCTCACCTGGAGTACTGTGTCCAGTTCTGGGCACCACAATTCAAGAAGGACACTGACAAACTGGAACGTGTCCAGAGGAGGGCAACCAAAATGGTCAAAGGCCTGGAAACGATGCCTTATGAGGAACGGCTAAGGGAGCTGGGCATGTTTAGCCTGGAGAAGAGGAGGTTAAGGGGTGATATGATAGCCATGTTCAAATATATAAAAGGATGTCACATAGAGGAGGGAGAAAGGTTGTTTTCTGCTGCTCCAGAGAAGCGAACACGGAGCAATGGATCCAAACTACAAGAAAGAAGATTCCACCTAAACATTAGGAAGAACTTCCTGACAGTAAGAGCTGTTCGACAATGGAATTTGCTGCCAAGGAGTGTGGTGGAGTCTCCTTCTTTGGAGGTCTTTAAGCAGAGGCTTGACAACCATATGTCAGGAGTGCTCTGATGGTGTTTCCTGCTTGGCAGGGGGTTGGACTCGATGGCCCTTGTGGTCTCTTCCAACTCTATGATTCTATGATTCTATGATTCTATGAAAGTATTGATACGGAATCAGGACATAAAGGCACTCTCGGGGTTGAGGAAAAGAGGAATGAAATTATTAAGAGGCTCACATACTAATGAAAATATGTATTTCTTCCCCTACAAGGAAAGGTTGCAGAGCTTGGGGCTTTTTTATTTAGAAAAAAAGGCAAGTAAGAGGTGACATGATAGAAGTTTATAAAATTATTCATGATATATAGAGAGAAGATAAAGAAAAGCCTCACCCTCTCATATAACACCAGGACATGTGGGTGAGATCCTGTGGTCAGAAATAGTCAAAGAGAAGGGAATCCAAGAAGGATGGGAGATTCTATAAGGAGAAATATTGAAGGCAGACAATTCCAAAGGCAGACAATTCCAACAAGAATGTGTAAGAAAAGGAAGAAAGGGGAAATCACAAAAGAGGAGTAGACACAACTAGCCAACAGTTGCAAGGTGAAGGTCAGGCTGGCTAAAGCTCAGAATGAGCTTGCAAGAGAGGTTTAAAATAATTTAAAAGGTTTCTGTGGCTATGTTTGAACCAAGAGGAAGAACAAGCAAGTTATAGGTCCTCTGTATGGAGAAGATGGAGAAACGCTATTGGGTGACAGAGCGAAAGCGGAACTGCTCAGCACCTACTTTGCCTCTGTCTTCACCCAAAAGGAAAGTGATGCCCAACCTGGTGATAACAGAATAATTGATGTAAGGAGGGAGCTGCAGCGCAATATAGGAAAAGAGGTGGTAAGAGAGCACTCAGCTACTTTAAATAAATTCAGATCTCCAGGACCTGATGAACTTGATCAACCTGATGAAGGAGCTTGCAGGTGTAATCTCAGACCCTTTGTCTATGACCTTTGAGAATTCTTAGAGAACAGGGGAGGTCCCTGCAGACTGGAGGCGGACAAATGTCCCCAACTTCAAAAGGCGGGAGGCAGAAAAACCAGGTAACTACTGACCGGTGAGCTTGACATCAATACCATAAAATGTCCTAGAACACATAATTCAACAGTCAATCTGTAAGCACTTAGAAAATGATGCTGTGATGACTAAGACCCAGCATGGGTTTCTCAAAAACAAGTCATGTCAGATGAATCTCATTCCTTTTTTTGATAGAGTTACAAATTGGGTGGATATGGGGAATGCTGTAGACATAGTGTATCTTAACTTCAGTAAGGCTTTTGACAAAGTCCCCCCTGAGGAAGCTAGTAAAATGTAGGTTGAACGAGGTAACTTTTAGGTGGATTTGTAGCTGGATGACTGACTGAACCCAAAGAGTACTCATTAATGGTTCCTCACCATCCTGGGGAAAAGTGACAAGTGGGGTGCTGCATGGTGGTGTCCTGGGCACGTTGTTGTTCAATGTGTTTATTAAAAAGACTTGGACAAAGGAATTAAGGGAATGCTCATGAAATTTGCAGATGACACCAAACTGGGAGGGGTAGCTAATAATGCAGAAGACAGAATCGGGATTCAAAATGACCTTAACAGATTGGAGAACTGGGCACAAGTTAACAAAAGGAATTTCAATAGGGACAAATGTACAGTTCTGCATTTAGGCAGGAAGAACCAGATACATAAATATAAGATGGGGGACACCTGGCTTGCCAGTGGTACATTTGAAAAGGATCTAGGGGTCTTAGTGGACCACAAGCTGAACATGAGTCAACGGTGTGATGCAGCAGCAAAAAAAATCCAATGCTATTCTAGGCTGCATCAACAAAAGCCTAGTGTCCAGATCAAGGGAAGTAATAGTACCACTCTCTTCTAACTTGGTCAGACCACATCTGGAATACTGTGTCCAATTCTGGGCATGCACCACAATTTAAGAAGGATGTTGACAAGCTGAAATGTGTGCAGAGGAGGGCAACCAAAATGATCAAGGGTCTACAAACCAAGCCTTACGAGGAGTGCTTGAAGGAGCTGGGTATGTTTAGCCTGGAAAAGAGGAGAATAAGAGAGATATGACAGCCATCTTCCAATATCTCAAGGGCTGTCACATGGAAGAGGGAACAAGCTGTTTTCTCCTGCTCTGGAGGGCAGGACTTTCTGACAGTAAGAGTTGTTCAGCAGTGGAACAGACTCCCACAAGTGGTGGTGGACTCCTTTCTTGGAGGTTTTTAAGCAGAGGTTGGATGATCATCTGTCATGGATGCTTTAGCTGAGATTCCTGCATTGCAGGGGTTGGATTGGATGACCCTTGAGGTTCCTTCCAACTCTACGATTTTATGATTCTATGAGTTGTTGGAGGCTGAAGGGGCAACAGGATTTGGTGAGCAAGGAGAGCCTGTGACAGAGAGCAGTTCTGACTCAGAGGCTGAAGCAGAGGTGGGGGTGGGGCAAAGGCTGCAGAAGAATACAGATTGTCCTACTGTGACAAGCTCCCCTCCCCACTTGTCTCCAAGGACACACAGAGTGATGCACAGAGTGGAACAGAGATTGGAGATGCCCCGTTGCAGTTTGAGACTGCTTGGGAAACTTCTGGCAAAGTAGGAGGCTTGGAGGTGGGTGAAGGTGGGGAACCTCAGTCCTGAGAACTGCTCTACTGGGGCAAAACTTGCTGGGATGTATTGCTGAGTTGTATGCCGCTTCTTTGAATAACGAGTTAGCTTCTCGGAGAAACTCTTGTTTCTTGCTTGCTGACCTGCATCTGACTCCAGTCCTGACAGCAGGCTTCCTTTGTTTCCTATATGTGCAGCCTTAATTGCATTACTACTACTACTACTACTGCTACTACTACTACCACTCTTAAAGAAAACTTCATTAGATCCTTTAGACCTATCCAATTACCGCCCAGTTTCAAATCTTCCATATCTGGGTAAGGTAATTGAGAGAGTGGTTGCTGAACAGTTTGGTAGGTTTCTGGAGGAAACATCGGCTTTAGATCCATTTCAGTCCGGGTTCCGTCCTGGTTTTGGGACCGAGACGGCTCTGGTTGCCCTAACAGATGATCTCCGTAGACAACTGGATCGGGGCGGGTCAGGAAGGCTGATCCTTTTAGATTTGTCAGCGGCCTTTGACATGGTCGATCATGATCTTCTGGACCACCGCCTCGCAGACGTGGGGATACAGGGCAAAGCCCGTAAATGGCTGTGCTCTTTTATCTCTGGTCGAGGACTCAGGGTGGAGCTAGGGAGGGAAATGTCGTCGTGCCATTCCTTGGTGTGTGGAGGGCCGCAGGGCGCAATTCTCTCCCCGATGCTTTTTAACATCTTTATGCGCCCCCTTGCCCAGATTATCCGGAGCTTTGAGCTGGGCTGTCACCAATATGCTGATGACACTCAGCTCTATCTGCTGATGGATGGCCACACCGACTCAGCCCCGAACACACTGACCAGATGCTTGGAAGCTGTGGCTAGATGGTTTCGTGGGAGCCGATTGAAACTAAATCCTTCAAAGACAGAGGTCCTATGGCTGGGTCGGGATGGCATGGGGATGAAGGACCAACTCGAGATTAAGATTAAGATTTGAGATTAAGAAGCAGGCTTTCTTCTATGTTGGGATACGGTTGGATGCCATTTTGAACCAAGATGATGGACTGGGGCTGTGTATACACCATACATTTTAAGCACGACTCCTCCCCCCCCCCCAAAAAAATCCCTGGAAATAGTTTACCCCTCACAGAGCTTGAAATCCCAGACTACAGCTCCCAGGATTCTTTTGGGGATGTCATGTGCTTTCATGGTATGTACACAGTTTGATCCTTTCAAAACCTGCAATTTTTGAGGGGGCGGGGAGGCTGCTGTTCTTTTCCTACATCTATATTTCCCTGGGTTCATGGCCGTTGCAAGAAGTACCTGTGGGGCACTGAGAGCCTGGGATTGTTTATTTGTTTGCTTTTTTCTTAAATTCAGCCACAGTAGACTTTTAAAAAAAGAATTAAAGCTTCATTTAAGTTATATATAGAGAGAGAATATAGAGATATAGATATAGATATAGATGATATAGATATAGATAGATAGATATAGATATAGATGATATAGATATAGATATAGATATAGATATAGATATAGATATAGATATAGATATAGATATAGATATAGATATCTTCCTTTGCTCTGCTATAATGATGGTGGTGGTGATGATCGTGATAAAAAATCCACACGAAGAGCTCTTGTGAACTCCACAAGGAGAATTCTAGACAATTGAAAGGCCTATATCAGAGGCCTGTGGTCTTTGGAGGACAATTACAAGGCCTCTACAATCCATCATAGAGATGTAGAGTGGGAAGGTATCCCAAGGGTAATGCACTTCAACCCCCTGCAATGCAGAAATAATTATAACCAAAGAACCAAATCTCTTCCCATCTGAAAGTTATTCCTATTGTTGAGCCCAAACCTCTTTTCTTGTAATCCATTGGTTCAGGTTTTGCCCTTTGAAGCAGCAAAAAAGAAGCTTGCTACATCTTCCATATGGCAGCCCTTCAGATATTTCAAGATAGTTCACCTCTCAGTCTTCTCTTCTTCATGCTAAACATACCCCGCTCCCTTAATCATTTCTCATAAGGTTTGGTTTCCAGACCCTTGATCATCTTGGTCATCGTGCTCTGCACACCTTCCAGCTTGTCAATACCTTTCTTAAACTGTGCACGCACAGCCGCCAGGGAATTTTGAGGAGGTCCCTTCCTTGAAAAAAAATGGGGGGCCCAATGGCACACCTGCCCACACCCACACAGCCCTCTCACACCTTCCCCTAATTGAAGGTGGTTGGAGTATCTTGACTTCTCCTGTGGTGGGACTGAGTGGCTGTGCAAAGAACAAACAGCAGCACCATGTTTCTGGGTCAGAGGGGGCAGGTGTGGAGGTACGGGGTGCTGCTATTGCCTGGGTTTAGGGTTAACGAGGCATGGAATGTGGTGCAGCCAACATCATCCTAGGAGAGGGAGGGGAGACACTTTATGTCTGTTGTCCCTACTCAGCCACACATCCCAATACATTAGCAGAAAAATAGTACAATATCCCTCATGAGGGTGGGGATACTTGAAAAATGTCTAGCCAAAATTCATGCAACAAATGGATGAATTTAAAATCTGCATTAGAACTACAGACACATTTCCTTCTTTTTAAAAGATGCAAACTGGTGCAGAAATGTAGTGAACTTCAGAATGGGGGGGGGGGATGAAAGTGAAAGAAATTGCATTTGACAGATTCATCCATCCCATTTCCAGGGTACATATACAGTCTGCACTGCAGTATCCCTCCTTCTGTGATTGTGCCATGAATAGGTTCTGTCCCCTTTTCATTCATCTTCCTTCTCTCTCTATCCCTGGGCCATGCATTCTGTGACTTCTTGAGAGTTTCCACTTGTAACTACTTTCTCCTTGCCAGAAACTGACTGTGACATTTAAGCTGAAAATGCATGCAAAATAGCTTTGCTTATAAACAAATAGAATAATATGTTTACCGAGTGAAATCTTCTCCCCAGAGTCGGCTGGAAGCAGGAAAACGAGAAGGGCAAGAGCTGAGATCAGCACACAGGGGATGAGAAGATTGAGCCCATAATACAGAGTCCTCCGTCGCATCGTCACTGTAAAGGTCACATCTGGATAAGGCTCTTTGCAGCAGTCATAGAAAGATTCAGTTCTTTTCCCGGGAACACCTGTGGGGGTGGGACAAAAGGTCTCCTGTGAATTTCACCAAAGCAATTACTAAGAAAAGTCTCCCAGGGTTATTGCTGAGAGCAGATGTGGGCACCTCATGGCTCCCAGGCCATCTGTGGCCCTGGCAGAACTTCACTGAAGCCCACATGGATCCTCCAGCCACCCCTCTGTTACCACCAACATCACTACCTGCTTCCAAAGGTTGCTGCCTCCCCATTCAGGGAGCTTAGCAAAGGATTATCTGTCATCAGAAATTATCGTTCTCCAGCCTACCAAATACTGCTTTGGTTGTGTGATACTGGCACCCTGTCTGGTAAGCCGTTGAGGCTACAAGTCAGAGTAGCCGTATGATTGTGATGGGGATGACAGTGTGTGTCAGGAGAGTCATCCCATGTGCTTCCCCCCACATGTAAAACTGCTCTGCCTCCCATCACCCCACCAAGCAGAAGTTTAGCAGCTGAGGGAGCATATCTGTAAGGGGGAAGATAAGGCTAGCAGTGACTACTAGCCATGATGACTATGTTCTGCTTCCACTATTGTCGGTGGCAGGCCTCTGAACACCAGTAACTGTAAATCACAAGTAGGAAGAATGCTGTTGCCTTCATGCCCTGCTTGTCTGGCATCTAGTTGGCCACTGTGAGAACAGGATGCTGGACTAGATGGGCCATTCAGCAGGGTTCTTCATATGTTCTTAGGATGATGCAGAGGTAGCAGGGCTTAACCAACACTCTCCTCCCTGCATATCTCCTTCGTGTGTGTGTGTGTGTGTGTGTGTGTGTGTGTGTGTGAACCCAGGTCCCACTCACTGCTGACTCCAATCATAGCACCCCTGATCACTCAGCCACTACCTAGTAGCAAAAAAATGTTACTCCTTCCTGGTCAAAATACTCTTGAGGTATCCACCTTGCTGAAGCTAAGCAAATCTAGCTCTGGTCAATGGTTGGTGGAGGAAACTGCCTGGATTTTGTCAAGCTTTGCTGCCGCTATGTGTAGGCCATCCCTTGGTAGAAGAGGCTTCTTTGTTCTGTTTTAATTTGTTTTGCTAATACTACAGGCAGTGCTGCTTGTAATGGAACAATTCCACTTTCGCTGTCCTAACCACCATATTGTTAACCCCCAAATGACCAAGATTTGTCCTGAGACGTATTGGGGAAGGCAAACTTTTGTGGCCATCAGTGGAGGGTGATCACCCAGATGTTACTCCGACTTGTAGCCTCAATGGCTTACGAGACAGGGCATCAGTATGAACAGTGGGCTCCTCTTCCTCACCCTGGTAACTCACTCTCTTTCCTCAGAGTTAGAAACACCTGGGAGATGTACTTCTACAAGAGACTTCTCAGCACCCGCACCAGTTTACAGTTCCCAGGTTTCCTTGGGGGAAGGCCATGGTCTGTTAGCCTCATTCTGGGTGTGACCTGCACACAAGGTGACCAGAAGCCAAGAAAACAAGAGGGAGGTAGAATTACATCTCCTTGGCAGTACACTTCTAAGGTCTTGCAGAATAGGGATCCCCCTGTGAGATCTCATGAGGAAAGGGAAGGCCGTTTTGCCATGAGAATTACAATTTCACTGGGTCTTCTAGGCCACCGGTTGACAGGGCTGGAAAGGATTTCCCCCTCCCAATCTCAATTGCTCCCCTGGTTGGGATGGGGGTCACCTTTCCCCAAGTGGACTTATGTTTAGCATTGTATAATTTGGCAGAAATGACATTGGGCAAGAATAGCATTGGAAAGGTGGGCCCCCATAAGGGGCCTGAGGGGAGTGCTGGCTGAGGGATGCCCTAAGCTCGTGCTGGGGCCTCTGCCTGACTGGAATCTCTGTCTCTGGATGCCCAGTGAGAACCTGGATGCTTGGCTTACACCTCAACAGGGTTCAATGCTGTGTGATTCCCATGGAGCGAGGCTGGCACTTCCCCAACCCAGTAAGGTGCCTTTGCAATGGCAGGGGCTGAGGGGAAGGAGGAAGTGATCCTTACCCTACTGCCATGCCAACTCTGCTTACCTTCTGTATTCAAAAAAGATCGGGCCTGATTTCACCCAACACCTGTGCCCTTTCTCAGTTATTACATCACTCTCACTGGGCTGCAGTTTGCATCTACCTTGGCAATGCAAACTCCAGATAAGTGTGTGGTGCAGAGCAGCATGTTCAAACTGTTTAGCCTGTTTTGAAGACTTGTATAATGCAAGGGGCTAAATTAATCTTCAGGCTTATGAGAATTAAACACTGATAATGCAGGCAATGTATAAGAGCATTAACTGAGATTCTGCTTATCCTTTAGGTGCTTTAGAGAAGAAAGGCCCAAATCCCTTAGCCAATTTTTGCAAGTCTTACCCCCAAGCCCTTTCATTCAAACAGAGCTGTAGCTCTGCAGTAGAGCATCTGCTTTGCACGAAGAAGGTCACAGGTTCAATTCCCAGTGGCATCTCCAGGTAGGACTGGGAAATCCCCTCACCTGAAACCCTGGAGAGCAGCTGCCAGTCAGTTTGGGAAACACTGAGATAGATGAACTAAAGGACCAACTCAGTATAAAATAGCTTACTGTGTTTTAGTTTACTTTCCTTTAAACTGTTCTGAATATTTCATTATAAATTGCTACGATACATTCTGGGAACTTATGGTGAAGGGAGAGTAATAAAACAATTAATAAAGTTTCTACTCTGCCAGACTCATGGACATGCCATGAAGCTGAATGTTGGAAGAAAAAGTACTTCTTCATCATGCAGCACTCTGGACCTTCTTCCCCCAGGAGGCAGTGATGGCCACCAACTTGGATGACTTTAAAAGAGGATTAGATCAATACACAGAAGAGGGCTATCAGCAGCTACTAGCAGGGATGGTTATGCTCTGCCTCCTGTCAAGGGCAGCAATGCTTCTGCATATCAGTTGCTGGAAATCACAGGAGGAGAGAGGGCTCTTGTGGTCAAGTGCTGCTTGAGGGTTTCCGACAGACATCTAAGTAAAGAAGAGCCTGGGCAAAGAAAAACATGTTGACATGATACTGGGTGAGACGGGCCATTGACCTGATCCAGCAGGCTCTTCTAAGGTTCTTCCAGCAAAGCACTGGACCACTGAGGGCTAGCATCCTATTTTATTTTTAAATTAAACATGTAGGAGAGAGGACTGGCCCACCCTCGTATTGTTCAAGGAATATTATGATCCTTCCCTAATCCTTGGAGCACTTTCCCGCAATCTGAAAATCCAAGGAACAGAAATGTGTGTGAACATGATGACAATGATCTAACACTACTTGTGTTTCAGATGGAATTGAAGATTGACATAAAAAGGCTCAGCTAAACATTTAAACAGGACCCAAGAGAGTATCCCGATGCCACTGACAAGGTTCATTCTAAGGCACATCAGTTCCATCTCTGGAAGCGAATCTCCCTGACTGAACTGAAGGCAACTGCATTTAGGAATATCCATACAGCTTACCGACTAAATCCCACTCTCCATTTGAAATGTATCCAGATATTTCTGCTTCTTGCATTTGCAAATCCAAAGACCATCCACCGTAAGTCCAGGATCCAAACTTCAATTTACATTTCTGGACATCAAAAGGAAACCAGCGCACATCTATGGAGCAAGAACTCTTGAATATTCCTAGATGGATGTTTCGGATGAAGGGAATATATGTATATATATGAGCAGACATTTCTCAGCAATTCTCTCTCTCCCTTTTGTATAGCTGCTCGCAGGAAAATGCCCCCACCCTCTGACATTTAAAACAACTGATCTGCTTGAAAGTGTTTTCCCCCAAAGCTGAATGAAAATAAGAGTATCAAGGTCAGCACCGTCGTTATCAAAACAGTGACATTCTGTACTCTGTCATTTGAGGATTGTTGTTCATTTCACTTTTATTTCACAAAACAACATTTCCACTTACACCCACCCACCACTGAATTATTTCATACGCACATAAATGCTCAACCTCAGGTATTTCCAAATGTGAACCTCACAGATCCATTGCAGCTGCAGGAACAAAGGCATCGCTTCACATGATTATTTGCAGTTGTGACTGATTCACACCTTCAGTGAATTCAACACACTGAAATGATCTTGTGTGAATTGAGATGCCAGAAAAATTCATATGGTTAGAAAATGAACTCTCATAAGATTTATTTATGTATGTTTATTGCCTGTCCATCACTGAATGGCTCATGGAATATCACAATTTAAAACAACATACAAACTGTTCAAACTATTTCATTGAAACTACAAAGCTTGATACCATTGCAAGAGCAGCAAAACTGGAGGGCAACCCAAGCACACCAACAGGGTAAACATCCACTCACCCAAAGCCCTGGGTAAAGAAAAACACTTTGACATGATGCCAAAAACGGTTCCATGATGGCGCACCTCAGAAGGGAGGGCGTTCCACAATCTGGGGGCCACCACCACCAAGAAAGCATTCTCACTTTTGCTGTAATCTGTCCTCCAATTTCTCAAAAATGTATTCCCCTGAGAAAGAGGCTTCCATTTTCATTATTAAAGAACAGAATATTCTTTCTAGCTTCTTTTGAATACAGTATTGGGGATAATGTTGAATTCATCTGCTCATTGCAGGTGAATTCTGTGACCAAGGTATTTGCATGTGTGTCTATTTCCAGGAAGCATTTCCATCACACCCATAAAGGAGACCCAAGGCACAATGACTAAAGTGGAGAAAGGTTATATCCATTTAAAACAGCAATATAGAGGATCTGCAGGAAAAACCCATTCACCAAAATTGAACGTAGTCCAAGCAGAAAAGTTCCCTAAGGAGGGAGGAATCATCTCCCTCCCAACTCCTGGGCATGTTTCCAGGTGTCTCATGTGGCCACGCAGCAAGGGCTCAAGTGAATTCTTCCTCCCTGCTGCCAAGACCTTGGGTCTGTTAACCTGACAAGCGCATCATGGCTCTGCTGGCTTATCATTCATCCTGGTGCACATGCAAAGCCCACAGGGCATCCCCGATAACCCGCCAAGCAAATGCTGTGCAGGGTGGCCAAATAGTGCCCTCACTGCATAAATGCCTCAGGATTTCAGCCCACTAGATCTTTAATTTCTCTTTCCTACCCAAACCAGACACCAGATGGAAAGAAATTAGATGCCATTCTGAATACATTACTCCCAACTGTATGAAGCAGGCAAAAAGAGGAATTCCAAGGCCAATGAGGAGCTATAAAAAAGAAAATCCTACTCAGTCCCTTTTACGGGTGACTAGCAAAACCCACACTGCATAGGGAGGGAGGGTGCCACAGTGAAGAAGAGGGAGAAGTTTGGGGAAGAACTGGCTTATAAATTCACCCCAGGAGTGGGAGTGGTCTTTCCCCAGCACTTTGCAGCCTCCCTGGCTGTCTAGACTTCCTGATCTGAAAAAGGAGGCACTTCATGATTTGACTGACACATGGGCACCAGGAAGGCTGCATAGAGCTGGCAAAATGATTTGAAGAATGAAAGGAAGGACAGTCACAAACACCCCTTGGCCACCTCAAAAGAAAAAGAAAAACATGACACACACAAACAAAATATTCCACCAACCCAATCAACTAAATTTTCTCTCTCCTTGCATAATTTTTGAATGCAATTTCATTTTTCATTAAATGATGGGGAATGGTTGGGTAGGAAAGGGGGCGTTCAGCACAGCACTACCTTCAATAAAAAGGCAACCACTGATGCTTTGAGTTTTCTCTATCTTGGGTTGCATTTCTTTCTTCTTCCATCCTGACATTACTGAGGTGGTGGCAAAAGCTGTTATGGTTGTATAAGGGACTTCTGTCTGCCTATTGTCTGACTGATTCCTGATCTCCTCTCCTCATCTATGAAAACACACCAGGTTCCCTGCAAAGCAGAATTTTCACACGGCAAAATACCATTCTTACCTGGGGGGAGATACTGGCAGTATCCTGACGAGTTCACCAAAACATTGGTATGAAATGTAGCATCAAAGCGCTCATCAGCACTAAAATGAATAATGAAGAAAAGCAAATTTAGTCCTTCAGTTTAAAAATAAAACATGGTTTACTGCAAGGTGTGAAGCCTGGGTGGTATAGCAGTTTGAGTCTCAGACTAGGAACTTGGAAACCAGGGATCAAATCCTCCCACTTGGCCAGGAAGCTCAATGCCTCTCACCTTTGGGCAGTCATAGAATCATAGGATTGTAGAGTTGGAAGGGATCTCAGGAGTCATCTAGTCCAATGCAGGCAATGGAGGAATTTCAATTAAACCATCCCTGACTTGTGGCCATCCAACCTCTGCTTAAAAACCTCTAAGGAAGGAGAGTCCATCACATTCCAAGGGAGTCCGTTCCACTGTCAAACAGCTTACAGCCATAAAGTTTTTCCTTTTTAATTTATTTTTTATTGAAACTTTTCAGCATATATTACAATAAAAAACAGACTAGTCTAAATAAAAATGAAAAAAAGAAATAACAAAAAAGAAAAAATACAAAGCCCTCTGTCAGAGGTACATCTTAACCCTTGTCTCACACAAAGGGTGTGGCCCCTCCCACCTCTCACCTGGGAGCTTCCCTTTCTTCTCCCACCCTGGGAAATCTTCCCTTCCCTGCCTCTCACGCAGGGTCTTTCACCCAACATTCATCACCTTCCTGTGTGTACTCTCCTTAACCCGAATAGAGGACCTCAAAAAACAAAACATAGGCAAATAGAATGCATAGGAGAAAGAAAAGGCACAAGAAATAAAGAAAAGAGAATAGAAAAGGAAAGCAAGAGAGAAGGAAAATAAATAAAGAGAACTTCCGATTCACCATCTGTCGATTATGTGTGTAAGTTATTCAAAGTTTTCACTCCAGAATAACATCCAGCTATATTCCAAGGTAATATCCAGCTGTTCCTCAATCTGCTAGACAGTATTTTCCTAATCTTCAACCCCATTCATTTTCTTTTCCACACAAAAAGTCCAAAGGGGGCTCTTCAATTGTTATTGTTGCTAAATGTTGAGAATAGTCTTTTTCCAGTCCAATATAATGGCTTTATCTTCAAGGAATTCCAACACCCATTATTAGGATAATAACCAATAGTTATTTATTTGTTGTATATTCATTCATTCATGCCATATCTTCCAATCCCATTTCCTGTTGGTCATGATTTCCCATCCTTATTTAGAAAAAAGTTCCTCCCATTTCCTGTTCTTCCATTATTTTTCCAGAATAATTGCCAGAGGCTTGCCAGGTTTTTCCTCTGAAGTCATTCCAACTTGTACACAGGATCCTTTCTCTCTTGGCTCGATCTCTGCCATCTCAAGATGTTTCTTACTATCTCTGTCAATAGTTTCATCTCACTCCTCTGGCATCACAACTCTGTTATTTGTCTGTTTCACTCCTCCAGGCAAGTGGAGGTCTTCTCCATTCCATCCTCTGCTACCATTTCACTCTCCTGCCCAGGCAATCTTGATCAATATTTTCCCCCAAAGGCCCGGTTTATTATTTGGTCTGAGCATTTTACACATCTTAGCTCTGAGCTCTTTGAGTTGCTCATCCTATAATTGTCACATGATACCAACAGTGGGATATTGGGCAATATCTTTGCCATATTGGTCTCCACCTTAACCGTCTCTGCCTTGAAAACTTGTGTCTGTCTCTTTAAGACAGAAGTGGCTTCCCATGCTCAGGAATGTAGCTTGACTTCTGTAGCCAGCATCCCAAAGAAAGGATGGTTTTCAAAGTAATATAAAATAACCATTCTTAATAAGCAGAGAAACCTTATCCATTTGTAATCTTTCTTAATCTCAAATAATTAGATACACTTTCGTATTATTTTTCAGCCTGCTGGTTAACTAATGTTAATGTATGTTTATGCCAGCATTCAATTCGCTTTCTAGGTGAAGTTTAATTGGCAGACAGATTACCCAAATCACAGCTAGTCCCAATTCCAGAAGTAGTTAAAACAGGGGAGGCTTAGCTGACCTGATGCTAACCTTCAAGACTATTGGTGTATGGGCACAAACCTATTGTCCTCAGTTTGAAGAACAGTCTTCTTCAGAGCATGTGAGGTTAACCCTTTATCTCCCTATCTCCCTTTCTGTCTTGGTTGTCATTAATCACCACATAATTACCGTATCTCTGCCAACAACTAGTCAGGGATCTTTTCCTCCTGGAAGTACAGTCAGAAAATTCTTCCTGGTGCCACTCATTATAACCTACCTCACAGGGTTGTTGGGGGGATTAAATGAGGATGGGGAAAGCATGTACAGTGGTACATGCGGAAGTTGAACAGAATTCGTTCCGGAAGTCCATTCGACTTCCAAAACATTCAGAAATCAAGGCACAGCTTCCAATTGGCTGCAGGAAGCTCCTACAGTCAATCAGAAGCCAAAGAAGCCCTGTCGGATGTTCAGGTTCCAAAGAACGTTCGAAACACTCGCTTGGCGTTTGGGAGCCAAAACGGACAAGTACCAAGGCGTTTGGGATCCAAGGTATGACGGTATTGCACTTGAGCTCAGTCAGTAGAGCATGAGACTCTTACTCTCAGTGTTGTGGGTACAAACCCCATATTGCACAAAAGATTCCTGTGCTGCCATCCCATCAAGTGCCTTTATCATCCATGAATTTGTCTAATCCCCTTTTAAAGCCAAGTTGTTGATATCCACTAGTACATACTGTGGTGGAAAATTCCATGGTCCAACTATGCACTATGCAAAGAAAGTGCTTCCTTTTGTCTGTTTCATTGGATGACATCCACCCCCCTTTGGAAAGATAAAAATTTATTTCTGCCTACTTTCTCCACACCATGCATGGACACTTCTATCATGTTCCCACTTTCTTGCCTTTTTTTCTAAATTAAAAAGCTCCAAATAAAAGAATTATTGTTGATGTAGTTGCTCCAGCATCCTGATTATTTCTTTTGCATTTTATGCAACTTTTCCAGCTCTCTCTCTCTCTCTCTCTCTCTCTGACACACACACACACACACACACACACACACACACACATACGAGGTGTTGTGGCCAGAGAACAGTACACAGAGTGTTTCAAGTGTGGTCGCCCCCTACATTTCTTTTGCCCTCTTCTGATTTCACAGCTGGAGAAGCACAGGACTCTTTGAGAAGCTCTGTTAAGAAGAAATTGGTCGCTCTGTGTTTCTGGGTATCATTTCCCAAAAAGACTCTTATGGAAGTGGAGCAGATTTAACACACTCACACACATAGGTGCCCTAGCTTGTGCACGCAAACATTTCACTGAAAATCTGGACTGATTTATGAATAGTGCAAAAATGGCACCTCATGCCTCTACTTAGTGCATATTAGCTCCTCCTACTCATCCAACTGTTGAAGAGGGTGTGGAATGTTAGCTTCTAATCCAGATACGTGGTGGACATGTAAGAAAGTGGCTCAGTTCTGGCAGGGAGTGACAAAGCTGGCATAAGACACTCCTAACCACAGAGGTGACTTGGTGAATTCAGTTTCCATCCACTCTATGCAAATGCCATAGGGCTCATCAGTTGGGTGTCTGCTCCACTAATGGGATTGAGAGCCACATGGAGGGGACTCCAAAAAATCAGAGTGTCAACCCTTCAGAAATGACCCTTGTGGAAGTTGACAAATTGGCAAATGTGCATGTTAACAATTACTGGAGAGAAATGAAGGGAGCCTGCCAAAATGCCTTTAGCATAGGCATGCGTTTAGCTTGGAACCACCATTGTTCCTTTTAAAATCCTCCTGTAGGATAGACTTACCAGGGCTGATTGAAGCAACAATCCATTTTTGCAACAAAGTTAATATCATCCCCTACAGCCATGGCCTCTCTCAAAGAATTCTGGGAGCTCTAGTTTGTAAAGTGTGGTGGGAGTTGTTAAAGACCCTTATTTCCTTCCCTGTGCTATAAGTCCCAGAGATCCCTGTGAAGAGGGGTTGACTGTTAAACCCCTGGGAATTGCAGCTCAGTGAGGGGAACAAGGGGTCTCCTAACAACTCTCAGCACCTTTTACAAACAACAGCACCAATAATTCTTTGGGGGAAGGCATAAGAGTTTAAAGAGGAATCATTGTGCTTTAAATGTATGATGTGAATGGGGCCTTAGGCATGATAATCAGAGGCTTTATGTCACTGAACTGCAGTGGCTGAAGACTAACAGCCAGAGAAAATCTTTCCCCCTCCTTCTTTGTGGGCTTCTTAGAAGCATCAGCTTGGTCACAAAGAGAAGCAGAGTGCTTGTCAGATCCAGCAAATGCAATTCTTATATAGGATGGGTCTATCAATGCAATTAACCATAGCAAACCGAAAACAGAACCTCCACATACAGGGAGGTTTGAGTACCAGACACTCAGGATAAATTATGAGCTTTGAGACCATCTTCAAACAGCTGAAGGGATTTTACATGGAAAATAGACCAGGATTCTTTTCTGCTGCTCCAGAGCATAAAATCCAAACCAATGGATTCAAATGACAATAAAAGAGATCCCAACCAAACATTAGGAAGGACTTTCTGCTGGTAAGAGATCTTTGATAGTGGAGCAGACTACCTCAGAAGATAATAGACTTTCCTTCTTTGGAAGTTTTTTAACAGAGGTTGGATGGCCAGCTGTCAGAAATTCTTTAGCTGTGATTCCTGTATTGCAGGGGGTTGGACTAGATGACCCTTGGGTAGCTTCCAACTCTACAGTTCTATGACTCTACACTGTCTTCTGCCTTTCAGTCAAAACTGTATCTTCTTACTGTGTTCAAAAGTTGTGTACTTTACTGCGCAATGTTTGCCATCTTGCCAAAGGTTGCAGGCAGCTTTACCTGCAGCAATTGCATGTTGATTGCCCTCTTAGAAGACAAAGTCCAGCAACTGGAGGAATGTGTAGCTACGCTCCAAAGAATTAGAGAGCTGGAGCTCTTCTTGGAAGCAACAGAGCACACCGTCTCCACCAAGGAGGAGACAGGAGACTCCCTGAGAAGGAGGCTAGTTCACCAACACAGGAGCCAGATATATGGAGAAACGTGACTCAAAGAAGTAGGAGGCCCAGGGTTCGCTCTGATTGTTTAGAAATACACAATCGCTTTGAGGTCCTCTCCCCTAGCATGGAAGACAAAGAGCAGACTCCATTTGAGGATCTCTCCCTCATTACAGTCGATCAGGTATATGAAGACGAGCAGCAAAGTCAGTCCTCAGGGAATGTGCAGGCGACCTTGGAACAGACAGCTCACGGAAGAACCCCGACCAAACCTAAGAGGAGGCGTGTAGTGGTGAGAGGGGATTCCCTACTGAGGGGAACAGAAGCAGTGATCTGTGGGCCTAACAAGATGTCTCGGGAAGTGTGCTGTCTCCCCGGGGCTAAGATCCAAGATGTAACTGAACGACTGCAAGGAATCATAAAACCCACTGACAAATACGCCCTCCTCTTGGTTCATGTGGGAACCAATGACACTGCAAGCAATAGACTCCAGAAGATCAAAAGAGACTACGAGGCTCTGGGCAGGAAATTGAAGCAATTAAATGCACAAATTGTCATCTCATCTGTCCTCCCAGTTGAACGACGTGGCCCAGGGAGAGAGGGAACATGAGTGGAAGTGAACAGCTGGCTTCGCAAATGGTGTAAACAGGAATGGTTTGGATTCTTAGATCACGGACTGCAGTTTCTTGAAGATGGACTTCTGGCAAGCGATGGGCTGCACCTCACAACGGTTGGGAGGAATTTTTTGCCAAAAATCTCAGAAACCTCATCAGGAGGGCTTTAAACTGACTAATGTGGGGGGAGGGAGACAGTGCTCCTGAAGGTAGGAGTCTATCAATTGATGAGGATGATCATCCAAATGTCATAGACCAAATGGAGCAAACAGCACGCAGACCTAGTGGTGGGAGGAAAAAATCCTTAAATAAGAGACACGGGGGAAGGATTAATGGACTTCAATGTCTGCACACTAATGCACAAAGCATGGGAAATAAACAAGATGAGCTTGAGCTCTTGGTACAGCAAACTAAATATGACATAATAGGCATCACTGAAACCTGGTGGGATAAGTCCCATGATTGGAATATAATAATGGAGGGATACAATCTATTTCAGAGAAACAGACCAGACAAGAAAGGAGGAGGAGTGGCGTTATATGTCAGGGATGTGTATACCTGTGAAGAGATCCAAGATTTAGAACCTCAAAGCCAAAGTGAGAGCATTTGGGTCAAAATTAAGGGAGAGAAGAATAACAGTGATCTCATTGTGGGAGTTTACTATAGATCCCCAAGCCAAACGGAGGACATAGATGATGCCTTCCTGGAACAGATGGCCAAGCATGCAAAAGGAAGGGAGATAGTAGTAATGGGGGACTTCAATTACCCGGATATTTGTTGGATGTCAAACTCAGCCAAGAGCATAAGGTCAAACAGATTCCTCACTGACCTTTTAGTATCACTGACAGTAATACTAAAAGGAAAAGGAGTTCATGATGGCTGGGAGTTTGTTAAGAGGGAGATAGTAAAAGCACAACTTCAGGCAATACCAATGAGACGGAAACATGGAAGGTGCCTAAAGAAGCCAGGGTGGCTATCTAAAGAACTTTTAACTGAGTTAAGATTAAAAAAGGATGTGTACAAAAAATGGAAAAGGGGGGAAACCACCAAAGAGGAATTCAAACAAATAGCCAGCACGTGTAGACACAGTCAGGAAAGCTAAAGCACAGAATGAACTCAGGCTTGCTAGAGAGGTTAAAAGCAACAAAAAAAGGCTTTTATGGGTATGTTCGTAGCAAAAGGAAGAACAAAGAAACAGTGGGGTCACTCAGAGGAGAAGATGGTGAAATGCAAACAGGGGACACAGAAAGGGCTGAACTCCTCAATGCCTTCTTTGCCTCAGTCTTCTCCGATAAAGACAACAATGCCCGACCTGAAGAATTTGGAGCAAATGATTCAGCATAGGAAACACAGCCCAGAGTAACTAAGGAGATATACAAGAATACTTGGCTAGTTTAGATGTATTCAAGTCTCCAGGGCCAGATGAACTACATCCAAGAGTATTAAAAGAACTGGCAGATGTGATCTCAGAACCACTGGCACTCATCTTTGAGAATTCCTGGAGAACAGGCGAAGTCCCGGCAGACTGGAGGAGGGCAAATGTTGTCCCTATTTTCAAAAAGGGGAAAAGAGAGGACCCAAATAATTACCGCCCAGTCAGTCTGACATCAATACCAGGGAAGATTCTGGAGCAGATCATTAAGCAAACAGTCTGTGAGCACCTAGAAAGGAATGCTGTGATCACCAATAGTCAGGACGGATTTCTGAAAAAAAGTCATGTCAGACTAACCTGATCTCGTTTTTTGACAGAATTACAAGCCTGGTAGATGAAGGGAACGCAGTGGATGTAGCCTACCTTGATTTCAGCAAGGCATTTGACAAGGTGCCCCATGATATTCTTGTAAAGAAGCTGGTAAAATGCGGTCTTGACTATGCTACCACTCAGTGGATTTGTAACTGGCTGACTGACCGAACCCAAAGGGTGCTCATCAATGGTTCCTCTTCATCCTGGAGAAGAGTGACTAGTGGGGTGCCACAGGGTTCTGTCTTGGGCCCGGTCTTATTCAACATATTTATCAACGACTTGGATGATGGACTCAAGGGCATCCTGATCAATTTTTTTAAAAAAAATAATATTTATTGCTTTTATACCTTACAAAAAGAAAAAAAGAGAAAAGAAAAAAGAAAAGAAGGGGAAAAAAGCAAAAGAGAAAACAATACAATACAATATATAAACAATACAGAACGCAACATTAACATTAACACATTAAACAAAACAAAAGCAAAAACAATTAAAAAAAACCACACATCATACCATCTCAATATCCTCTCTTTCATTCCCTTGTTTCATTGACCTCCTCTCACCTCCCCTTTTGTATTCCATTTCTATTAATTATTTCAGCAAATCCTTTCCATCTTTCTCTATTTTCTGTCATGTAATTATCTTAACATATTTTAACCTTATTTTACATTAATACTATAATACTTATTTATACTTAATTCCTTAAAATATTTCTACTAAAGCCGTATAATTCCCTTCCAACATTTTTCTAACACTCATTAATTTTACATTATTTCCATATATAGATTTTAAACTTTTTCCAATATTCTTCCACCGTCTCTTCTCCCTGGTCTCGGGTTCTGCCAGTCATTTCCGTCAATTCCAAATAGCCCATCAACCTGGTGATCTTCTGTCCGAGGCTCTTAACTCTTTTCCGGGTCCCTTCTGCAAGTCTTCTTCATGTTTATACATGCACTTTACTTTGTCTTCTCCTGATCTTGTTCTTATTTTCCTTCCTTTGATGCTGAAAAGTAGATCTCCGGGAAATTCCCATCTAGCAATGTTTTTGTTCCTTCTCGACAAGTCAGCCAAATCTCCATAGTTAGAACTGAAATTCAAAAGATATTTCCAGTCGTGTTTCAGAGTTCCTCCAAGTCTGGCAGTCCCCACAACTCCAGTCTCCTTCTGACCCAAGTCCAGGTCCCAAAGGTCAATCTCCAGTCCAAGAGGGGCTCCAATCCTAAAAATCTGACTTTCTCTAAATTCAGTCTTGGAAGGCATCAACTTATAATCATCAAATTGCAACTGTAAGGCTGGAGCTCTCTTCCTCACCACTTGTGTCGCTTTAGGTTCCACAGCAAAAACTTTCTCCCCCGCCTTCTCCTCAATTTGCCACATGTCAAAATAGATCCCTGTATCGATTCCTGAATAATTTCTGTATTAATATTGACTTTTTGTGCCAAATTAGTCACTTTTTGTTCCAAGTTATCAATTTTTATAGTCCTCGCATCCGTCTTCTTATAAAGCTGTTCCAGTGAATCATTAATCTTACAAAACGCAACCACTAAGGCTTCTTCTGTCAACATTCTTAACGATTCAAGGTCAATCCCAGATTCTCACAGTTTTATCTTGCAGGTGGATAATTCCCCCAGCTCAGCTCTTGTAACAATTTCAAAGGCTTCCTCTAGGGGGAAACAATTTCTATTTGTATCAATCCTTTTAAGCACAGTTCAAACAATAAAGTTAGTTTCAATTTTCAGTTACTTTTACTCCTTTTTAAACGCAGAAGGGGACAATGGAAACAATGTATTTCTCTTCTTTAACTTACTGTCAGCAGACGATCTATTCACAGTCAATGAGCATATCCAAAACTTCAATCTTTACTAGCAGCCCATTTCCAGGTTCAGAGCGGTGGTAAATTGACTTTCTTCACTCTCTCCTGCAGGCTTACGCGATCTTAAATTTCCCCCCTCTTCTCCTGCTTCCAAGGGGGGTTTGATGGTTTAACCGATGGAAGTTTAATCCTTTATGTGAGACTTTCCAAGGCTTTAGCTTGCAGCCTCTTTGCTTCAATCTATTTACAAAAGGGGGAGGCGGACTTCCTGTTTGAAACCTCCCCGTTTTGGTGCCAAATTAAGACGTTTAAAAATCCAATTTTCCGTTCTACTCACGGGTAGTTGTTTTAAGATCAAATTGTCTACAGGAAAAAGTCAGCGCTCACCTGCAACAGCAATGCGGCTTCACTCCGTGAAAGAAGCAGTCGATGCGAAGCACCGTGCCACTCACCCCACGTCGCTCCAGATCCCTGAAACCGGGTTTCCCCGCGAGTAGGGGAGGCGCAGAAGGTGCCAGCCGAATCCCACGTCCACAAGCTTCTCCCACCTGTGGTTTTTAGTGGGTCTCCGCCTTCGCCGTGGCGGACAGACCCTGATTTCCACGGAGCGGATTCCTCCCGATCAGAGGAGTTCCTCCATTGCTGGAGGCGCTAACCCGGAAGTCTGTGGGCATCCTGATCAAATTTGCAGATGACACCAAACTGGGAGGGGTGGCTAATACCCCAGAGGACAGGATCACACTTCAAAATGACCTTGACAGATTAGAGAACTGGGCCAAAACAAACAAGATGAATTTTAACAGGGAGAAATGTAAAGTATTGCACTTGGGGGGGAAAAATGAGAGGCACAAATACAAGATGGGTGACACCTGGCTTGAGAGCAGTACATGTGAAAAGGATCTAGGAGTCTTGGTTGACCACAAACTTGACATGAGCCAAGAGTGTGACGCGGCAGCTAAAAAAAAGCCAATGCAATTCTGGGCCGCATCAATAGGAGTATAGCATCTAGATCAAGGGAAGTAATAGTGCCACTGTATTCTGCTCTGGTCAGACCTCACCTGGAGTACTGTGTCCAGTTCTGGGCACCACAGTTCAAGAAGGACACTGACAAACTGGAACGTGTCCAGAGGAGGGCAACCAAAATGGTCAAAGGCCTGGAAACGATGCCTTATGAGGAACGGCTAAGGGAGCTGGGCATGTTTAGCCTGGAGAAGAGGAGGTTAAGGGGTGATATGATAGCCATGTTCAAATATATAAAAGGATGTCACATAGAGGAGGGAGAAAGGTTGTTTTCTGCTTGACAACCATATGTCAGGAGTGCTCTGATGGTGTTTCCTGCTTGGCAGGGGGTTGGACTCGATGGCCCTTGTGGTCTCTTCCAATTCTATGATTCTATGATTCTATGATTCTACTGTGTTTCACTGTCTCAGTATCACTGTAGAGGTTGACCAATGCACAAAGCCCCTATGGTATTCCTTCAGTTTTCTTTAACTTGGAGAGAAACCAAATTTACAAGGGGGAAAATGATTTCAACAAGATTAATCTAGAACAGAACACCTGCTCTGAACATCTGCTAACCCATCTCACACCTGAAAGGTTTCAGAGGACTCTGATTTCCTCTCCTCCGAAACTTATCTATGCAGAACCCAAGCCATGACCCAAATGCTTAAGCTTAAAACAGCCATTGGACTTGACAGATGGACGTGGTAGGCACAGTGAACCTTAGAGCAGGGTTCATCCCAAATCATTTAACATAAAGCACACTGCAGGGAGAGGTTCTCAGAGTATATCAAAAGCAAAGTGGGTTTGTCAGCTTTGAGAGAAGGAGCATTCAGGAGGGTGACAGAAGACCCATCTTCTCCACACACAGTGAAAGCAATATTACGAGTCAACACCACCTGGAAGAGCAACATTAATCAAGTGGGTGGATGGAAGGAGGAGGCAGGCACAGCTGCAGCTGACATATTGGCTATTCTAAGTAGATGGGAAACCCAAAGAAAGATGCTCTTTGAGATGGAGAGAAGCAATGTGGTTTCTTTGTACCCAGCAGGGATGCATTCAATCAACAGACATATGGCAAAGAGAATTGAAACCTCCACAAGGCAGCAGGGTGACCACAGAGTTGTGTTGCACCACAATGGATGAAAAACGGTGGAAGAAAAGCATACTTTTGATGTGGTGCAAAAACAGATGTCTTGATTGTTTTATCCTTTCAGTCTTGGACCTGGGACATGGCAGGAGATGGGAAGATAGTGTCAGTTGCTCAGAGCCTTTGGAGTGGTTCCTCAACTGCAGTGTCCGATCAACAGTGCTTCTAGTCTTGGACACAGATCCTAGATAAGATGTGCAGCATCTGCTTCAAAGCCCTGTTGAGCCAACGCGGTGCCAATGCTAGAGGGTTGGGCTTCGATGGGAGAAGGGGATAGGTAGAAATGCCCAGTACCAATTTGAAAAGTTTTAGCAGAGGCAGGAAGGAATCCATCTTCCTCTATCTAAAACAGGGATAGCTTATGAACATCATCCCTGACCATCTGCCTTGACAATGGCCATGCTGGCTGGGAATGACAGGATGTTGGAGCATGTGGAGTGTCACTGGTTCCTCAGCCTCGGTATTAACATGGCCTGGGGAACCTGTGGCTCTCCAGATGTTGCAGGACTCAAGGTGCTATACATGGTTCTCCCAGTCCTCATTTAATCCCCACAACAACACTGTGAGGTAAGTTAGGAGGAGAGACAGTGACCAGCTCAAGGTCCCACCTTGTTCCCAGGGCCCCCACATTCAAATTTGCACTAAGTAGCTTGTTGCCTGACTGCAGCTGAGGTATTTTTGTGCACCCTACCAAGCTGAAAGGGACTTCTTTCTCTGTTAGAGGGCAAGGGATTGCTGTCCAATCCACTCACAGCCTAAGATGAAGGATGAATGGGAATCTTAAAGCAGCCTCACCCCCACTTGCACTGTGGCACTTTCGCTTTCACCAAAGGTAGCATGTAAAATCATATGAAAACTAACAGGGGCTTTTGATCTTCAGCTATTCAAAGCCAGTAATAAATTAAAAAATGGTTCAGTGCAGAACACAGACTCCAGATGAATCAAGGGCTATGCTGCTATGGAAATGTGTTGAATTGCTAAAGAGAAGCAGGGATCCCTTTGATCCTGCAAAGGCTACCCAAGAAGAACTAACATCCCCAAAAAGCTTATATTATTCTATGTTTTTACTCTAGCCAAGGCAGGACCAAAGAAAGCAAATTTTCTGTATCCTCACAAAGGCAGGCTCCAAATTATAATGCAGTTCTGGTAGTTCACCCTTAAGGATGTTAGCCAGGCAGTGTCTGCTCCAGGTTTAGGGTGGTCTTTGTCTTCAGGGACCTCCCTTCCTGAGCAGACTGTAGCTGTAGCTCAGTGGTAGAGCATTTGCTTTGCATGCAAAAAGTCCCTGGAGAGTACAAAGGAACAAAAGAGTGAAAAGCAAGAAGACAAGCGACCTGGGAATATTTAAGCACCCTGTCAAGCTTAATCCCACTCTCAGACATGCAGTCACAAGGCAGGCACTTCTCTCCAGCGCATAAATATCAGTCACTGTGCATGGATACAGTGTCCAGCTTGGCAAGATAAATGAGCATGGACAGCCATGAATGCAGAACATCATTTCCAAAGGGCAATTTGCCAGCTAAACAGCAGGAGATGAGAAAGCAGCTTTGGGGAAGCTATGGCATAAGTTTTTTAACGATGTGCCTCAGATGTTTTTATATATGTGCACACACAGAGGGAGGGAGAGAGCTTTGCCGTTTCTCAGCATTCAGCAAGGAAGTTTGAAAGAGCACAGGGGTTCCATGCTGAGCACCCAACTCTTGCATCCCAATAACTGCACTTCCCCTCTACCAGTATTCGCAGAAGCACAGCCTGTACACGGTGGTGGAGAGCAGGTGGGGGCGGGGCTGGCGCACATCCTGGGGGCGGGGGCGCCACCCAAAGGGGTGGGGTGTGCGTTCTGGGGGTGGGGCGTGCCACCTGTGGGGGCAGGGCGCCCAGTGCGGGGGGGCAGCCACTATGGAACCCCACCGGGATCGTGCTGCCCGGGGCAGTGTGCTCCCCCCATCCCCTCTTCCTCCACCAGTGCCTGTACATGTCACAGGAGTGATCAGTATAGATCTGCTAGGCTTAGAACTGCTGTAGCTGTCCTCCAAGCTGAAGGTTTACTGCCTCTATAAGGGATTTCCAACTGCCAAGGGGGGGGGTCACATACCCAGATATCTAAAGCTGGAGCGTTGTTTGATCATGTGTCCATCTAAGCCATGGGTAGGCAAACTAAGGCCCGGGGGCCAGGTCCGGCCCAATCACCTTCTAAATCTGGCCCACGGGTGGTCCAGGAATCAGCGTGTTTTTACATGAGTAGAATGTGTCCTTTTATTTAAAATGCATCTCTGGGTTATTTGTGGGGCATAGGAATTCGTTCATCCCTCCCCCCAAAAAAAATATAGTCCGGCCCCCCACAAGGTCTGAAGGACAGTGGACTGGCCCCCTGCTGAAAAAGTTTGCTGACCCCTGATCTAAGCACTACTTATGTGGGCTTATCTCTTGGACAAGACCATCCCCTCCAGTTTGGAATAATTTATATCTAGACTGCAAACCTTGCCAAGTTGCCACTGAGTTCCTGCTCCCTGGGGCTGCTGCCTCACTCTGCCTAACAGAAAGGCTCACCCAGACTGAGCTGGAGCAACAGGGAGGCTAAAAAGTGGGGCACTTCAGCAATGAATTTTCCCTCCCTCTTCATTCAGTTAAGCCTTCTGTGATAGATGCTGATCATTAAGCTAAACACACAAGAGCACAGTTAATAACCCCAAAGAACAAGCAGTGCAATGCTCAGAACTAAGTCCTTCGGGATTTGATGTGGCTCACTCCCAGATAAGTAGGGTTAAGAATGGGGCACACAAATGTAGGCTTGGCTTAATATCTTTGTGCACTGCTATGGAATCCCCAGTTTATAATTTATAAACAAAATAAAACAAAAACTATGCATTATTTGTGATTATGGTTATCATCAGCCTCACCAAACATACTGACATATAAACCAGTCTTGTACTGAGGGCTTATCCACACTTACCTTTCCTCTGCTCTTTCCAGGCATGCTCCACACTTTAAAGGTCCATGTCCAAGCAGTCTTTCCCCCCTCTGGAGCTTTCCCAAGGAAAACACGTTCCTTAAACTCAATGGGAGCAAACGGCAATCCATGGAAAACTCAAATGTGCTCCAATTGAGTGCTAAAGAGCAGGTTTTCACAGGGAGAGCTTGGTGTATTGATACTGAACATGTGCCTAGAAAGAGCGGGGCAAAAAACAAGTGTGGGTAATCCATATGTTTTCTCTGATTTGTGGCAGGTCTCCAAGGTCTCAGGCAGAGAAGGGTCCACCCCAGATCTCAACACAGCCTGCTACATAGAATTGTAGAGTAGGAAGGTACCCCAAGGTTCATCTAGTCCAACCCCCTGCAGTGCAGGAATCCCAGGTTGTTAAAGTTTGTGGGTCGTAAATCCTTTGACCCACTGAGTCTGCTGCAACAGCCCTGCAATAAATTTTATTTACTGCCACTCCAACAAACTCCAATGGCGCCCACACGCTTCCACTCGCGCGCTGCCACTCTTCTCAGTTGCCGGATAATAGCAGAGTTCACACACAGAGTAAAATGGCTTCTTTGTGTCAACGTGGTGTCTTCCATAACTCAGCTCGACACCAGTGCTTCTATTCTAACACTCTTTATTTAGAAGCATAACAAACGGAAAAGAAAACCCACAGAATCTAGCTGCATGTTCGCAGCACACTGTCTCTAACAAAAACGAAACTACCTTGCTCACATTCTCAGACAGACTGCTCTCCAGAGAGAGCTCAGCCCCCACAGAGCACAGATCAAAGGAAAATGGTCATGTGGGCAATGCACCCAGTGAACACTTCTGGAGTGTTAACTCTTGGCTGTCCAGAACCACAACACACGTAAAGAATCCCTGACAGATGGCCATCCAACTTCTGCTTAGCAACCTCCAATGAAGGAGAGTCCACCACCTTCTGAGGGAGTCCTTTCCACTGTCAAACAACTCTTACCATCAGAAAGTTGTTCCTAACGGTGAGTTGGAACCTCCTTTCTTGTAATTCGAATTGATTGCTTTGGGTCCTACCCTCTGGAGCAGCAAAAACATGCTTGCTCCATCTGTGACATGAAATTCCTTCAGATATTTAAAGGTGGCCATCAAATCACCTCTTAGTCTTCTTTTCTCCAGGCTAAACAGACCCAACTTTCTCACCCTTTCCTCATAAGGCTTGGTTTCCAGACCATTTATTTTTTTTGGTCAGTTGAAGATGCCAGGGGTTGAACTTGGGACTTTCTATATGCAAAGTGTGTGCTCTGCATCTGAGCTGTGGGGCATACTTTAACTTTCAAAAAAAGAAAAATTGACATGAATTACTTCTATTTGTCTTGGAGCTGTTATCTGAACCCAGGGCCACTTGTGTAAAATGTTTTGCAGGAAATCTTATGAAGTTCTAATGAGATTTTCTAGTTCAAAAATGAGGTACATGTTTATTATTCAGTGTAAAAACCTCTTCTGGCAAGATTGTTTGCGTTATATTAAGGAAATGACATTCTTGGTATAGACGTGAATTACATTGAATCAAAATTAAGTGCTCTTTCTCATAATGCAATGTGACTGTGATTAAGGCTGAAATGAAAGAATCATAATAACAGCAACCATATTGCACAATTAAGTGACAATTCTGTCACTGCAATTCTGTGCAGTTTGCCAAACCATAACTTGATTATCCACTGGTAGAGATAGAAAGATGTGTTAATTTCAGTTTCTCTCAATCCCTCATTTTTTTTCAATCTTCAATTCACTTAATCTCATTCCCGCATCACTTTGCAGTTTTTTAAAAAGCTGCATGTGAGGCTTAAAGAGACTTCCGGATCAGTCGCAATCACATAAAGGTCGTGAGTTCATCCAGCGAACTTGTCGGGATGACTCAGTCATAGAAAAGAGTGAAAGGGGGAGTGAAGGCAACACAATACCCCTAAAAGGGCTCAGAAAAGGATTCTGAGCTTTGACCGAGCCAAGCGGCACAAAAAGGGGTTTCTCAATGGCTCCTGCACTTAGTAAAGTGGCAAGAGAGAGGGAGAACCCCAGCCTTCCCTTTCTATGAGATGCCTCGAAAGCCTGAGCGATTCAGCTACAGCTCTCTCCATAATTCGAGACTAAAATAATAAAAATAGAGGGAAGACAGCAAGAGGAGGAGGAGGAAAATAGGGAGAAACCATAAAGAACATAGAAAACTAGATTAGACATAGGATGAGAACTTGAAGAAACTTTTCACTTTCTTACTCTTAATTATAAAACTACCACGGAAAGAATAAGGTATTAAAGAACCAATTCACAAGGGGAACATATAGATGATACATAAATAGCAACATGACAACAAAGAAAAAACAGGTAACAGGTGTAACCTTGGCAACAGGTGTAACCTCGGCAACACCTGGAACACAATCAAGAAGCCCTTCCACAATAGAGATCGAGCCCAATTTAGATATTAAAGAACTGATACTGGGTATGAAAAAAGAGATGAATGAAAATATGAAAGCGTTAGATGTAAAATTAGATTTAATGGGAAATAAGATAGAGCAGAACTCAAAAATAGTTCTGGACCTCTCTGTACAGATTGAAAAATTCTCTGACAAAAGTAAGGAATTAGACACAGATAGGCGAGAATTAAAAATGAAATCCAATAAGTCGGACAAAGCATTGAAAAAGAACCAGAATGAATGTAAAGAGATGAAGAAAAGCCAAGAGAAAATGAAGGAAGATCTTGTGGAATTAAAAAAAGATGCAAGAAACAATGCTGGATGCAGTTGTGACACAGGAGATGCAACAGAGAGAACAGATGCTGAGATTTTGAGGAATAAGAGAGAGACAAGAAGAGAGTATCGAGGAACTGATAATAAAGGAGCTGGCAAAATGGCTAGAAATCCAAGAAGAATATTTCTCTATTTGTATGGACAAAGTGTTCAGGGTCAAATCAAGGTTTGTGAGGTCCAATAAATGGCCAGGAGATTGTCTTGTGTTCTTGAATTCAAGAATTCTAAAAGATAAAATCCTACAAACTAACAGGAAAAGGGGGCTGAGAATTGATGATAAAGATATTATAATACTAAGAGAAATTCCTGCAAGATTGCTAAAGAATAGGGTAAAATATAAATACTTAGCTGAGGCATTGAAAAAGAATGACACCCCCTTCAGATGGGAATTCCAGAAGATATTTCCTTTACCTTTAAGCAAAGTAGAAAAAGATTTACAACAGAAAGTGAGGTAGAGAAATTTTGGAGGAAGTATTGTAAGACATTAGGAGGGCGGAATTGTGGGGGAAAGGGGAACCTAGAGAGGTAGGGATAAAGTGGGATGTCAAATCCAAACTCTTCTTCTTCATCGCCATCTACTTTGAAAAAATAAATGGGATATAATATAATATAATATAAAAGAGTGTTGATTAATAAAAAAACTAGTTGATGAATTTATTTCCTCAGATGTTGTTAAGAAAAGAGGGGTAGTTATATATGCAAACTCAAGATTCAACCTAGAGCCTTTATTTAAGGATGAAGAAGGGAGAATGATGGCAATAAAAGTGGCATATCAAAAAGAAAAAATAATTATCATTGGAATCTATGCACCAAATGATAAGAAGGTGGAATTTTACAAAAAAACTGGAGGATAAACTGCTGGACTATTGTGACAAAAAGATCATATTATTAGGAGATTTAAACTGTGTTACCTCACTCGATATGGATAGCACAATGCGAGAGAGAGAAAGTATAGAAGAGAGATTACCGTTAACCTTCTTCCAACTGGTAGAAAACTTCAATCTTCAAGATGCATGGAGAGTTAAACACCCAAATGAGAAACAATTCACACACTGTTCAGAAGCAAAACATTCTGCAAGGATAACTGATAAAATTTGGGTCTCAAAAAACTTATTACTAAAGATAAAAAAGCAGAAATTCAATCAAAAACACTATCAGATCACAATCCAACTATGCTGGAAATAAGAGAAGGAAGAAAAACAAGAAGAAGATGGAAAATTAATGAAAACATCCTAAACAATGACAATATATTAGGAAAAGTGAGGGTGATTTCAATAGAATACTTTGATAACAACTTAAACCGGGGAACTGATATAAATACCGTATGGGATGCAAGCAAAGCGGTGATTCAAGGCTTCTACATCCAACAAAATATAACCCAAAGAAGAGAGAGAGAAAGGAATACAGTGGTACCTCTGGTTACGAACTTAATTTGTTCCGGGGGTCCATTCTTAAGCTGAAACCTTTCTATTGAAATCACCCTCACTTTTCCTAATATATTCTCACTCCCCAGTAACCATGATGGAGGTGCAACAATCAATTTCCAAAGCAAAGACAAGAAAGTCACCAGGTACAGACAGTTTATCTGCAGTGTATTACAAAAAATTAGAAGAAATATTGTCAGATCCGATGAAAAAAAGTCATGAATGGAATTTTGAAAAAGGGGGAAAGACCAAAATCATGGGAAGAAGCTTTTATCACTCTGATACACAAGAGTGATACACAAAAGAGTGGCCAGAGAGATTATTTGATTACCTTAAGTTGGCAAAACTGACGGATGCAATTAAGGAACAGTCTAAACAAAAATTTCAAAAAGAGCAGGGAAAGTACAGAGATTTTTTTAAAAAACCAAAAACAGTGCCCTCAAATTAAAACCTGGACTTGCTTGGAATAATTATTGCAAAACAAAATATGGTTTACAAATACAACATATGGAGAAGGGTAGAAAAGACGAAATGAGAAAGAAACAGTTTATCGAGTTTAAAATCAGACCTGCATTGAGGAGGAATGAAATCTACTAGAATTAGAATAAGAATTAAAGATTGGCTAACATAAGTCCACATGCAGATACTTGCAGATATATGGGTATACAGTGGTACCTTGGGTTACATACGCTTCAGGTTACATACGCTTCAGGTTACAGACTCTGCTAACCCAGAAATAGTACCTCGGGTTAAGAACTTTGCTTCAGGATGAGAACAGAAATCGTGCTCCGGTGGCGCGGCAGCAGCAGGAGGCCCCATTAGCTAAAGTGGTGCTTCAGGTTAAGAACAGTTTCAGGTTAAGAATGGACCTCCAGAACGAATTAAGTATGTAACCAGAGGTACCACTATATGTTTTTCATTTATTTTGTGTTTTCTTTTGTAGTTTTGTAGTTTGTTTTCCACATGCCGTGTGTGTATGTGCTGTAATAATAAGTTAATAAAAAGCATTTACAAAAAAACAAAAAAGCTACATGAGAATCCGTATGAAATTTCATGTACATTTCTCTGAACACACACATTTTTGTCCAACAGATGCATTTTTGCAATCCATTTCCCCCAATATTATTCACTTTTGCACACCAGTGGCACTAGTATACATTTTGTGCATTCTTTCTCCTGAACTACACATTTTTGGTTGTCAAACTGCATCAGAAAATTCAAAAAAGTAAGAATTTTGAACAGCAGTTCCAGTTTCTCTGGACAACCTGTTTATTCGGCTTTCATCCAGAACTGCTGTTTGCATGGTGGGTAGGCTTTGTCTGGTTGTTCTTGAGAATTCATTGTCATTTGTTTGTAAGGAACTTATACATCCTGATTTGCTTGCAGGTATTTATCTGGGTTCCTGATCATTCATTCATCCCACACTTTTCAATGCATTTACTCATCACTTTCAAAACCAAAGTGGATTTGCTGTGCTAGGTTGAAAGAGCACACTTAGGACTCTTCCAGACTTCCACACAGGTCTTGGCTTTAAAACTCCCTGTCCAAGCATTGTTGCTTTTTATCCTGGTGCTTTCCCTGGGAAAGCCCCTGTTTTACCACTGAATCAGAGCAAATGGCAACCAGGTTTTCCATAGATTGCTGTTTCCACCAATTAAGTGATAAAATGAGGGTTTTCCTAGGGAAATCACAGGGATAAAAAATTGCTTGGACATAGCGCTTCAGTCTGGCTTGGAGGTCTACAGCAGACACACACACACCATTGGTAAGCACACCATTTTGATTTTATTTTATTTATTTATTTATTAGATTTCTATGCCATTTTTCATTCAAGTGAATCCCTAAATGGCTTACAAAGAATAAATAATAACAACATGATATAACAGAATTTTTACCCATACACTCTCTATCTGCCTTCCATGCTGCAGGTATTGGATTTCTTCACAAGCATACACATCCCTTACATATAATGCTGCTGCTTCTCCCTTCCTGTTTGGTTGATTTCTTTTGAACAGATTATACCCCTCAATTCCTACATTTCAGTCACGAGTCTCATCCCACCAGGTTTCAGCAATGCCTCCAGGTCATATTTGCCATCCTGTAATAAGAGCGCAAATGCTTGTTTCCCATACTATGTGCATTTGTGTAGAGACAACTGAAACCATGAGTTGTTCCCTCCAGCTGCCTCCTTCTTGCAGTTTCCTCCCCTTTAGCAGGTTTCAGCAGCACCACCTCACTTTCCTGTGCATCAAAGAAGCTATTATTCCCGGTACCAGGTATTCCCCTTTTATCTGTAATACTGTCTCTCTCCTCCTCAGGATTTAGTTTAACACTCTCCTGATCAGGTTCACAAGAGTCTTAGCAAACACATTCTTGCCAACCATTGTGAGATACAACCTATATCTTGCCAGAAGTTGTTCCTCATGGAATTGGGACCATGGTCCAAGAAGCCAAATCTTTTCTGACAACATCACCTGGAAGCATGGATAAAGCCAAGGGGCAGCTGCCCCCCCATCAAGTAAATAAATAAAAATACCGAACTAACTGCTGTCCTTGTTCCTCAGCAAGGTGTCTGAGGTGAAATCAGTTTTGAAACTACAGTGACACAGCATGGCTCCTGACAGTCCCGCTTCTGTGTGTCACATTCTTCCAGGGATTTGTCTCCTGCATGGAGTGAACGCCCTCCTCCCTAGAGGCATCCCCCCTGCATCTCTGTCCCAAGAGAGTCCACTCTGGTATCGTGATAATTTCTTCATCTTGCCCAGTAGCTCGAAGTGTGGATAGGCAGACCTCAGGTTGCTGTACTTTCTCTTCCAGCAAGGCAACCAGCTTGCACTTGCTGCAGGTATAGTTTTGCACTTTTGCCAGCAGAAATAGAAACATGGCACAGCTGTGGTAGGTCACTGCAACAGCTCCCTCACCATCCATGTTTCTTGGCCCTGTACACACAGTGAGGCCTCCTTCTCAAAACGCCCTTGCGAATGCCCTTCTTACAAGTCCTGTTTGTGAGCTCCCAGAAGCTGTATTCAGCTCAGTAGAACATAAAGAGATGGCACTTATTACTTGATGCTGCGGATTTGTGCTTAAAGTGTCTTTGATCATGGATTTGAGACTGATTTTATTGTATATTTTTTGTACTCTGTTGCATATTCTATGTCATCAGCTATCCTGTGTTCCTATCTTGGAGTAAGGGCAGGGTATGAAAACTATGTATAACAACAACAACAACAACAACAACAACAACAACAACAATTCCCACCTTTTGCACCATGTAAGCCTACCTGTTATATAGAAGGATATCCGGCTTCCATATCTGGCCATCAGGAAAACGGACGTTCTTCACTCCAGGATATTCTGACATATTCCACTGTAAATAGTAGTCTGTCCAGTACTGGAAAATTAAGAATAATAAGCAAACACACACAGGTTAATTTAATTTTCTACTAGCAGTAGCTTGTTCCTTCCAGAGTATGGCAGAGTTAGGACTCAGATGAATGTCTTGCCTGGAACTCTCAAGAAGTGGCATTTTACTTGCAAAAAAGCCCCAGATTCTACAAATTGTGCATTTAGCAACTGAGGCGGGGGTAGAGGGTTGGGAGAACAACTGAAGGCATTAAAATTTCATTTTTAGGTCACCCAGTTGCACACAGCAGCCTGTAAAAGAAATGCCACTCTGCTTGTGACTTACAGTTTGTGCCATCTCAAGCATGAAATTGGAATATATATATTAAAGGTTCCACAGAGGAAATAGGAAGCTGCCTCAGATGGTTCATCTAGCTTCTCTCCTGCAGCCTTCCCCAACAAGTGTCATCCAGGTGTTGCTCAGTTACAGTTCCTATCAGCCCCAGTACGACTGCAGGGCAGCAGCTGAAGAAGGAGCAAAAAGGGTTTGTGTGTGTGTGTGTGTGTGTGTGTGTGTGTGTGTTTCTTTGTGGCTGATTAGCTGCTCTCCCTGTGCAAAGGTCAGAGGGGGGCAGGGTTTCTGTTGAGGTAGGTGATTAGCTGTGGGAGGAACTTATCAGAGCTTGCAGGGCAGCGGCGCGCGCCGCTAGGCGTGCGCAGTTTGATCCATCTTTTAGATTTAGGGGAGCTAGTCTCAAACGTTTGTTGGGGGAGACCTAGGGGTTTTTTTGGGGGGAGTTATTTGCCCTGTCTTCACGCTTTTTATGATGGAAGACCGCTGTAGCCACCCCCAATGACACGTTCTCAAGATGGAGGGTGAGGGAACAGCTGCAGTCGCCTGCGGTTCCTGCGCAATGTTTGCCATCTTGCCAAAGGTTGCAGGCAGCTTTACCTGCAGCAATTGCATGTTGATTGCCCTCTTAGAAGACGAAGTCCAGCAACTGGAGGAATGTGTAGCTACGCTCCAAAGAATTAGAGAGCTGGAGCTCTTCTTGGAAGCAACAGAGCACACCGTCTCCACCAAGGAGGAGACAGGGGACTCCCTGAGAAGGAGGCTAGTTCACCAACACAGGAGCCAGATATATGGAGAAACGTGACTCAAAGAAGTAGGAGGCCCAGGGTTCGCTCTGATTGTTTAGAAATACACAATCGCTTTGAGGTCCTCTCCCTAGCATGGAAGACAAAGAGCAGACTCCATTTGAGGATCTCTCCTCATTACAGTCGATCAGGTATATGAAGACGAGCAGCAAAGTCAGTCCTCAGGGAATGTGCAGGCGACCTTGGAACGGACAGCTCACGGAAGAACCCCGACCAAACCTAAGAGGAGGCGTGTAGTGGTGATAGAGGATTCCCTACTGAGGGGAACAGAAGCAGTGATCTGTGGGCCTAACAAGATGTCTCGGGAAGTGTGCTGTCTCCCCGGGGCTAAGATCCAAGATGCAACTGAACGACTGGACCTTTTACACATCAGGCCCTCCCATTGCGGCATGTGATGTCACACATGTGTGAGATGTCACGTGTGTACTCTGGGCACCCACAATGATGGGTGCAACCTGGTGAGCCTAACCTGAGTTGCTGTGCTCATTAAGCCTGACACTCCTGTGCAGATCCTGTTCTGCTAATAAAGAGTTAACTCCAGCTTGCTTGGTTATTTACTGCTGGCTCACCCTTGTCGCTATAGGAATGTTAAGGATTGTAGGAAAGGATATATTGAATAAATATTATCCTTCCTTCACTCACACTAGTGAGTGATGTAGCAAAGCAAATTTCCCTTAATTTACCTGGAAGCTAGTTTGCAGATTTGTTTGAATCTCTTAGTTAAGATTATTTCCTGGTGTCCCCTTTGATCCCTCTTAAAAGAATAAAGACACAAGAGTCTTCCTGAGTAAAATAACAAAAAGTTTACTCACATTTCGGTTCACGATTTGATCCCTGAAAGGCAGGCTTTTCTTAGCAGTTACATAAACAAAGGCAAGCAAGAGGCCACCTTCCAGCCAGGCAAGAGTACTTGAACAGAGCATGGTGTGGGGCTCATAAGGGGCAGGGCTTGGAGAGAATCCTGTGGGCCAGAAGAGGAGCCTGGCAGGCCACATTCCCGCCCTAAACGTTTGCAAGGCTCCTCCTCCTTTGCATTGTGTTTGTCTTGACTGCAGCCTTGTGAGCTACCAACCTCAAACAACAGGGGACAAAGAAACATGGTGGGCTGAAGATCCTGTACTGATTTGCACTACCCAGCCAGCTTCTGCGCAAGGTTAAGTGGAGATCACCTAAGGCAGGTTCCTATAATTTCACACCAGTGCTCCAATCATTAGTTTTAGCTTCAGAAAGTCACACATTTCCCCCAGATGATTGTTTTGCTCCACGCAATGCATGAAAGCCTCATTCCAGGGAAATTTGACCTCTTGTTTAGCTCCAATCTGCACTATGTTTTTTTCCTTTTGTTTGTATTGGGCAGTTCTTTTGCAACTCAGTATGCTGTTTACAACCCTGTCAAAGCAGCAAATGACCAAAGCGGTGCTCCTGTGTGCCCTCCAGCTCTACAGATGTCAACTGCTGGAGGTCGTCTCCAGTCAGGATGCCCAGTGATTAGCTCTTGTCTCTCCCAGTGCTTGTGACACTGATAAATCTGTCCTTGATTAAACTGCCTGGGTTCTTCTGGGACCAGTTTTTAAAGCTGATGAAAAGTTTTCTTACTTTTATAAATAACTTGTGCCTTTTCCACATCTTCTTTTAAAATGCAATGGCAGCAAAAGACAAACTTCTTTTTTTTGTCTCATCAGTATCAATCAGCCAATATGTTTAACTATGCAACACATGGTTAAACCATGGAACTCACTGCCGTGGGAGGCAGTAATGGCTACCGAGCTAGATGGCTTTGTAACAAAAATAAATATATGAATAAAGGACTTAACCATGTGAGGCTGGCATAAAAACCCTGCACAAGCACTATGCAACAGAACGAAAGATCATTATTCCCCCTCCTCTCACTTTCCCCCCAAATAACGTACAGTATATAACAGTGTCTCATACTGAATGCAAATGAACTGTGAAAAAGACTATGAATTGAAAGTGGAAACACTATAGGTACCTGTAATGAGTATGGGTTGCTCGTGCGTAAGTTGCCGCCTCTCCTGGCTATGTTGCCTTGTTAAACCTTTCTGTCTGGACAGCCCTTCACTTCGTGGCTGCCTCAGTCGCTAGCAGAATCCGTCAGTGGGCGTTTCTTAAACCTTTTCCAACATAAAAGTTGTTTGACGCCAAGTCTCCTCCTACTCTCCCTGCGCGGAAGCCTTCTGCGAAGGGAGGGCGTGGGTAGCGGAGGACCCGTGCTCTCCCCGCTGGTGTCCGGTGAAGCGTCCTGGAGCCCTCTCGCCGATTCCCCCATCTGCCCCCCTTTATTCCTGGTGTTGCGCTGAATTGCTTCCCCATCTGCTGAGCTGCCTCTCTCCCTGCTGGGCCCTTCTCCAGCATCATTTGAGAGCCTTCCCTCTGCCTCTAGCTCCGATGTCAGTTCCCTGACAGTATCCCTTTTTGTTTATTTCTTACAAAGGAAATTCTTTAATAAAAACTATAAAAAAGAGGATTAGAGAAATTCATGGAGGAGATGGCTGTCAAAGGCTCCTCTCCAGGATGGCTCTGCTCTGCCTCCACAGCGGAGGCAGAAATGCTTCTGAGCGCCAGTTGCTGGAAAACAAGAGGGGCAGAGAGCCCTTGTCTTCACATCATGCTTTCCCCATTTTCTTCCTAATGTAACACTAATGTCTCAACAAATGAAACTGATATGTAGAAAATGTAACTTGACATTGCACATACTTTTGTAAACCAAGAAATCTTTAATAAAAAAATGTTTTTAAAAAATCCAGCTTGTATACTCGTATTTCAAATAATCTAATTCAAAGTAGTGCAAAAGCCTTGTCTTCATTATTCAATAAATGCTTCCTAGTTTGTTTCAAAAATATCTTGCCACTGTCTTTTTCTGGTTTATTTTTATAAAATGTGTTAATGTTGTCATTGACACAAATTCCCAGTGTTTATCAATCCATTCTATTGATTGGTTGGTTTGCAATCTTCACTTGCTTGCATACAGTAACCTTGATGCTTTCAACATATAAGAGACAAGTTCCTTGTGTCCATTCCTTACAATGCAGTGTTTTTTAAAATCATACGTTGATAAAAGTGCTGTGAGTGCCAGCACAAAATGGATGCAATGGGCAGCAAAAACAGTACTTGGTACTGGGGAGGACTGTAAAAAGAAAGGGGAGGAACCTTGCATATATGTAGCTGGTTTCTTATTAAACTATCAACTTTTTCCCATTTTTAAAATATACTGGTGTTTCCACCACATATGAAAATAATTCCCATTTTTTGGCATTTCCAGTTGAATAGTTCTTTATCTTCCGCAGTGTCCCTTGTTCTGCATCCTGTAACTCTCCCCTCAAATTGTTTAAAATGGAGTTGTGTAAATACACTTCATGTCAATTTATAGTAACACCGTTATGTCACTGTGTCCTGCTGCTCAAAGCACCGTGCAACTTCTGAAATACAGTCAGTTGTGAGCAAAGAGCTCTTTGATGTAACTGATGGTTGATACTGAAGGTGTTATGTACTGAGCTTGGATCCTAGAACAATAGGCAGGTAAGATCCTAGAAGGCAGCAACTTGATTGGTCTGCAGGAGCTGCCGAATCCGGGTCCAGGAGGAAGTCAATCAGCAACCTGCCTGGGCTGCAGGAGCAGCCCAATCAGGCTCCAGGAGGGGAATTGAATCAGCCAATCATGTGGGACCCATTGTGTAAATAATGTATATATAGCCAGAGGTTTTGGGGGGAAACTCATTCACTCACTGATGACCATGAGCTGAAATAAAGAGCATGAAATCAACACTCAACTCCAAGTATATTTCAGAAGGAAATGAATGCAGTGAAAAAAGTGGAGGGATGGGAAAAGAGAGTAGAAATTTATGAAGTTAACTTCCAGATTCAGACGACTTCAGGAGTCCTTGTGAGCACTCCTCGCTTTTGATTAAGGGATGTTTGCTCATTTGATGTGTGTACTATCCATGTCGGTGGCAGACCTTGGGGTTTCAAATTTCAGTGGTGCTCTGTACAACACCAACATTTGGCACGCCCCCCTCCATGCCTCTCACCTTCCATTACACATCGTAGTTGTGGTGCCACCAGAGGAAGGTGAAAGTCAATGCTGTCCATTTGGGACAACATCTGATAGCTGGCCTACCATGGTAGTCGGGATTTCACAAGAGTGGACAGATGACTTACTGACACACTCAGCATGTCTGACCATATTTGACAGCTGGCATGCAGTAGCAGTTAATGTCTGACACTCTCTGATATATATCTTACAATGGAAAAGAATCAATATTTCATTAAATGAATTCATTCACTAAACCAATCACAAGGAGCAAATATTGGGCTTGTCATATTCTGTTAGCCTTTAAGGTCTTTTTGCTGTTTTTACTGTAGAACATCTGCTTTGCATGCAGAAGGTCCCAGGTTCAATCCCCAGCATCTCTATGTAGGACTGAGGAAACACTCCTGTCTGGAAAACTGGAGAGCTGCTGCAGGTCAGTGTGGATGATACTGAACTAGATGGACCATTGGTCTGGCTTGATATATAGCAGCCTTCTGGGTCTCTGCAGTTTCACTTTCCATGGTGCCCACATGTTTCTTTTAAAGGGAGGAGCTGTAGCTCCATGATAGAGCCTCTGCTTTGCATGCAGAAGGTCCCAGGTTTAATCCCCAGCATCTCTGGGAAGGGCTGGGGTGTCCCCTGCTTGAAGTCCCAGAGAGCAACTGCTAGTCAGTGTAGACAATCTGGAGCTAGATCTTGGCATATGAGAACTTCCTAAGCTACTGATAAAATCACCCTCTTAAAAGAAACTTCTAAACTTTAACACTCACCATGTGTAGCCAAATGTTGGTGGTTAAAACTTGGTTCTTTTCATCCTGCCAAAGGAAAGGAAAGGAACAAATCAATGTTGGTTGTTGTTCTTTTTATTTTTATTTTTAAAAAGCTGTTATGAAGAGTTATTGAAATAGCTTTCCTCTGCTATGAATCTCAAATAGCTGCCTGCTCAAAACCAAAGAATCCTGCCTGAAAGGCATCTCGTTCCTTCATAATACCTTGCATCAAGCACTTTCAGAAATAGGTCACTGACTAATGTGAATTATCACTCTAGTTGATACAGTTGATACAGGGCATCAGGCTTATTTATTGCTTATGGGTTATCCTGTGTGACAGCTCAACCAGATCCTCTAGAGCAGCGATGGGTTCAGGCTTTTCAGATCAACTCTGAGGTTTTTCAATAGATCTACTGGAGGTGCAAAAAGCACACAGCTAGAATGAATGAACTGGGTTCCTTTGTGCACATTCTGAACCTAAGTTATTGTCTGCCATGCCAGACCTTAACTGGGGCCACAGTCCTTGTGCACAGAAAGCCCATTCCTGGTTAGCATTCTTCATTTCAGCTGCTTAATTGCAGTGGCAAAAGTCATATCATTCTTAAACAATTTGGAAGTCCAGAAACTCTCCTTGATCAACTGTGAAGCACCCAGAGATTCCACTCTGCCTCCTGCCCAACCCTTCTCTGGAGAAGTCATCAGGTGAACTTGGAGACCAGAAGCAGCCAGCAGGGTGCGCTCTGGCTGTTACTGGAGCACAGTTCCCATCATCCTTGACTGTTAGCCATGTTGGCTGAGGCTGCTGCAAGTTGGAGTCCAAAAACATCTGGAGAGTGCCATGTTGGCTACCCCTATCCTAGGCTGAGAGTTGCTTTCAGGCATTGAACAAATTAGCTCCCCACCAGCTGAATCCACAAAGCCCAGGAGAAATTAGGGATGTTTACATGTGTTAACTGAAGACATGAGAGGGACTGGTGGTGCTCACCCATCCCGTACTCTAATGCTGCTGTGTCTACTGGCCACACACCCTTGCCAGGTATACACTTGACATTGCTAAGAAATAAGGATCACTTCCACATGTGTCCACTTATAATTCCATTCCACTACATTTCTGTATTAATAAGATTTATAAAAAACAACTGCACAATTTATTTAAATAGGTAAATTTCTAAATATGTTTTCTCTTAAACTGCACATTATTTTTTTAAAAATGCAGTTTTCATTTTCTTTGCTTCTTCACTGCATCAGAAAAGCTGAATCAGTTCTACTCTAGTCCAGAAGGTGTGGAAAGAGTCAGTTCATAGCAGAATCAGAAGATCAAAATCCTCAAGAACTCTTTATAAAAAGGGGGGTGGTCTTAGACGGTGGGAGGGAGAGGCTGAAAGATATGTTGATGTATCTCATCCCATGAGATACAAAAAATCTCATAGGAGAACTTTTGGTTCAACTCCAGTCTTACCACCTGCCTCTCAGGACTAGCCCCAAACTAGAATGAGAGCAAACTAGCCCCAAATTAGAAGAGTGACTAGTGGGGTGCCACAGGGTTCTGTCTTGGGCCCGGTCTTATTCAACATCTTTATCAACGAATTGGATGATGGACTCAAGGGCATCCTGATCAAATTTGCAGATGACACCAAACTGGGAGGGGTGGCTAACACCCCAGAGGACAGGATCACACTTCAAAACAACCTTGACAGATTAGAGAACTGGGCCAAAACAAACAAGATGAATTTTAACAGGGAGAAATGTAAAGTATTGCACTTGGGCAAAAAAAAATGAGAGGCACAAATACAAGATGGGTGACACCTGGCTTGAGAGCAGTACATGTGAAAAGGATCTAGGAGTCTTGGTTGACCACAAACTGGACATGAGCTAACAGTGTGACGCGGCAGCTAAAAAAGCCAATGCAATTCTGGGCTGCATCAATAGGAGTATAGCATCTAGATCAAGGGAAGTAATAGTGCCACTGTATTCTGCTCTGGTCAGACCTCACCTGGAGTACTGTGTCCAGTTCTGGGCACCACAGTTCAAGAAGGACACTGACAAACTGGAACGTGTTCAGAGGAGGGCAACCAAAATGGTCAAAGGCCTGGAAACGATGCCTTATGAGGAACGGCTAAGGGAGCTGGGCATGTTTAGCCTGGAGAAGAGGAGGTTAAGGGGTGATATGATAGCCATGTTCAAATATATAAAAGGATGTCACATAGAGGAGGGAGAAAGGTTGTTTTCTGCTGCTCCAGAGAAGCGGACACGGAGCAATGGATCCAAACTACAAGAAAGAAGATTCCACCTAAACATTAGGAAGAACTTCCTGACAGTAAGAGCTGTTCGACCGTGGAATTTGCTGCCAAGGAGTGTGGTGGAGTCTCCTTCTTTGGAGGTCTTTAAGCAGAGGCTTGACAACCATATGTCAGGAGTGCTCTGATGGTGTTTCCTGCTTGGCAGGGGGTTGGACTCGATGGCCCTTGTGGTCTCTTCCAACTCTATGATTCTATGATTCTATGATTCAAACAGGTCATCCTCTGAGGCTTTTGCTGTCACCAGGCCTACATGTGGGGAGACCAAGTGAAGACAGAGGCCTGACAAAAAGAAGAGCTGATCTAGACCCATAATAATTAAGACGGAGAAATCTATGTTACAGAGGACTGATGGCAACAAGTGAATACCGACTGACCCATCCACAGCTGGGTCCAGCATCTACCCATGCATACCTATGTATAGCTGGATCTCACCCACCCACCCCGCCCCACTTAACAATGAATAAAAATACAGAGGTTCCATATGGGCAACAGACCAAGCAAATTAGCCTCTGGATTTGGGTTTGCAGGTCAATTTGGCGTCTGTGCCTCACAGCTCAGGTGTCCTCTTGGGTGGATATTTTGTCCACGAAGGTTAACAGCAGCTGTACCCACAGTCCATCTGTCACAAATAAGCACTGCCTTTCAGCCAAATGGTTATTTAAGAACCTTGGTGAAAATAGACTTTCTTTACCACCAGGACTCCCATTGATGCCTGAGGAAAACAATCCATCACTCTTTATCTGTGTTCTGTTTCCTTGAAGGCTTTGTTCATAATGGCTTCCTAAAGGTGTGGCTTGTTACCACAGCGATTCACAACCATACCTCATCCATGTTAATGGCAACATTATTACTTTCCATGCATACAGAAATGTGTGTAATTCATCAGACAAGCAAATGGCTATTGAAGGGAGTAAAAAAATGGAATAAATGAAAACCCTGCTTTCCAAGGGGATGAATCCATTAAGCCTTGAGCACCTGCCTGGTTAATGACATCCTCAGAAAAGCTCCACGTTGGCTGCCCAGATGCTTCTGAAACCAATTCAAGGTGCCAGTGCTAACTTTAAAGCAGAATGGGAGGGGGGTGAGCAGCCCTCCAGATGTTCTTGGACTCCAGTTTCCATGAACATCAGACAATCTGCCAATGGTTGGGGGGGAGGAGTTGGCTGGCATCGATCTGTCTTGGGAGCCAATGGAAGAGTGTGGCTTTGGGGGTGAAGTCAAACTATTGGAGAGTTACAGAACCTGCTGGGGCTGTAGAGACTGATACGGGAGAGATGTTTTCTGGCAGCTGGGGCAGGTGAAGGCATCCGGTTGGGCTGATGCAGTTGTGCTGTGGCATTTCTGTGTGCTCCTCCCACTAGTCATTCCATCTCTGGTCACTGCTGTAGATACATGACCTGACTGAGGCACTGCGTCTTCTGCAAGGCATTCCCACGTGGCAGTGTTAATGTTGCCAGCTGTCATATCTCATTTGCAGACTTTTTTTATTTTTTATTTTTTAAATGATATTTATTGAAAATTTTTTAGAATTACAAAAGAAAACAAGGTAGAAAAAGAAAAAGAAAAAACAAACCACATCAAACAATACAAATTAATCAAAAGACAAAAATATACCACAAACATTTAAAAACAAATCCATTATTCTCAAATCCTTAACTGTCATTACCTTCTTTCTTTGACCTCCTCCTCCTCCCTTTTTTGTATCCTAGTTGTTAATTGTCGCAGCAAATCCTTTCCATATTTCATAATATTCTGTCATTACATTACCTTAATCTATTTTAATCTTATCTTACTATAAAAACCTTAAAACCTAAAACTTAAATCTTATTTTTACCAACTTCTCATAACCATAATATTCTTACATAATTCTTTAAACAATTTTGCTAAAGCCAAATAATTTCGTTCCAACATTTTTCTAACATTCATCAGTTTTATAAAACAATCCTAATAATAAAAAAGAAATAAAAAAACAATCCAATCTTCATCCAGCGTCTCTTCCTCCTGGTCCCGGGTTTTGTCAGTCCTTTTTATCTCATCAATCTAGCGCATTAACCTGGTAATCTTATATCCGAGGCCCTTAAGTCCCTTCCATGTCCCTTCCGTGGCTCTTCTTCATATTTATAACTGTATTTTCCTTTGTCTCCTGCTCCTTTCACTCATGGGAACTCTAGCTTAGCAATGTTTTTGACCCTTCTCGACAAATCAGCCCCTTTTCCATAGTCCACACTAAACTCCATGTGGTATTTAAGAACATGTTTCAAAGTCTCTCCAAAATTAAGAGCCCCCACAACCCCAAACATCTCACGGCCCATTGCCAGACTTGAAAAGTCCAAACATCCCTGCATAGGGGGGTCTATCCAACCCCCCCATTTCCAAACCAAACCAAACTTTATCTTTCCAAATCTGGCTTTTTCCAAGGTCATTTGTCAAATCCAAAAGCTCATGTTCCTGCTGGGCCACAGCTCCCTCCATCTCTGGCGCCCAAGATTCAGCAACATCCTCTTCCCTCATCTGTTCTGTCAGGGCACACTCCTGATTTAATTCCTGAGTGGGCTCCATATAATTTCCCACTGCCTGTTCAAAATTCTTGATTGCATCAGTCATCAAGTCCGTCTTCTCATGTAGCTGTTCCAGTAGGGCACTTGTTTTACAGAAAGCACACAGCAGAGCTTCTGAATACATTGTCCTGCAAGGTCAGAAGTCTATTCCCACGATCGTAATCTGTAACAGCTGCAAGCTCCCCGATTCAGAATTAGTTACAGTTTCACAGGCTCCCTCTAGGGGAAAACTTCTATTTGTTCTTTTCTTTTAAAGACAAATCTAACAACAAAGTTTCCTTTTTCAGATATTTTGTCAATATTTGTTCCTTTAAAATGCGAAGGGAACAATGGAATCACTATGTTTCTCTTCTTTTAGCTATCTGTCAAAAACGTTTGTCTCTGGTCAATGAGCTTCAAAAAACGTCAGTCCTGACACCCCGCTCCAGGATCAAGACGGTGGAAAGTTACTTTACTTTACACTCACTTCTGCAGGTTTAAACAGTTCAGAAAAAATCCTCCTCTTCTCCTGCTTCCGAAGGGGGTTCAACAATCTTAAATGATGAAAGTTAGTCCTTTACAAGCGATTTTCTGAGCTCTAGTTTGCCATGTCTTTGCTTTAATCTATCTACAAAGAAACGGAAGGCTGACTTCCTGTTTAGACCTTCCCGTTTCAGTGCCAAATTGAAGTAAACTTTTAAGTCCAATTTTCCTTTCTGCACGCAAGTCCTTATTTAGAGTCCAATTTTCCGAAATTTAAGTACTCACGGGTAATTGTTTTAGAAGCCAAATTGTCCCAGGAAAAAGGCAGCGCTCTCCGGCAACGGCTGTGCGGCTTCGCTCCATGGAAGAAGCAGTTGACTCTCAGCACCACGCCACTTCCCCCTCTTCGCTCCGGAGCCCATTAGTGGGTTCCTTTGCGGGTTGGGGGGGGCGCTAAAGGTGCCCGCCAAGTCCCATGGTCACAGGCTTCATCCGCTTGTGATTTTTGAAAGGGTCCCCACTTCGCCGTAGCGGGAAAGACCCGTTTCCCGTGGAGCTGGTCCCTCCAGATCAGAGGGAATCCGCCATTACCAATGGCGCCACCCCGGAAGTCCAGACATTTTTTTATAATGCAGAGGTGGTCTGTCAATGGGCTTGGTGCCTAAAGCCAGCTCCCCATAAAGCATGTTCTTGGGGATCCTGCCATCTTCCATTCTGTGGACATGAGCAAGCCAGCATAGATGTCACTGAGACAGGAGTGTGAATGTGCTGGGGATGTGGGCTTAGGGGAGCACATCTTGGTTTGAGACTGTGTCAAGATCAGTTGAGAAGGCCCTCCTGGTCATTTCACCACCCTCAAAAGTCTGTGGGTGGCAGTTAAGGACAGGGCATTCTCTGTGGCAGCCCCTAAGCTGTGGAATCTCCTCCTCATTGAGGTGCATCTGGCTACTTCATTGTATTGCTTTGCTCATACATTGAAGACATACCTCTTTAACCTGGCCTTTGACACCTAGGAGAGATAGAGTAGAGCTGATGTCCTGGACTGGCTGGATGCAGAGGAGTGGGGGGAGGCACCAGGTAGGGAACCCCTAGGGGAAGAAGTGGTGGTGGGATGATGATAAGTGGTCAGAGGGAGAAGAAGGAGCAGACTGGGAGGAGAAGGTGTTTGAAGCAGAAGAGGTAACAGGGTTTATGGAGCAGGAAGAGGCTGTGACAGAGAGCAGTTCATACTCTAAGGCTGGAGAGGAGAATGGCCAAGAAGCAGAGCTGAGACAGCCTGCTGAAGAATCCAGGGACTCTCCCCCTCATGCTACAACCAGCTCCCCTTCCCCCTGCTCTCCCAGAACAGAGATTGGTTGTGCACAGACACAGTTTGTGAATGCTTGGGAAAGACCCTGGAGAGCAGAAGCCTTAGAAAGTGGTGGGAAGGTGGGGACTTCAGTCCTCACCACTGCTTTGTTGAGGCAAGACCTACTGGGAAGAGCTGCTGAAGTCACTAGACCTGCGTTGTTTTGGTTCCTTTGAGTAAAGAGCTACATTCACATACACCATGCTTTTCATTGCTGACCTATACCTGACTCCAGCTCCTGGCAGAAGCAGAGATATAGTGATGGGCAGGGTGGGTGTATTTTTATATTGTTGTCCCCTGCCCTGGAGCCTTGTGCTTGAAGGGCTGGTAAGTAAGTGAAGTGGGACTCAAATAGCTGAAGGAGCACCTCTCACAACGCTAGCCTGCCCATGTCTTCAAATCCACCATGTGGGTCTTGCCCCGTCACTGGGTGAAGTTTGTGATGTGGCCACAATGGAGAGAGACTGCTCATCCACTGGATAATGTTTGTGATGTTGCTGCCAGGTCAAAACTCACTTACAGTGGTGCCCCGCAAGACGAATGCCTCGCAAGACGGAAAACCCGCTAGACGAAAGGGTTTTCCGTTTTGGAGGTGCTTCGCAAAACGAATTTCCTATGTGCTTGCTTCGCAAGACGAAAATGTCTTGCGAGTTCCTGCGGGGGTTTTTTCCTTCCCCCCCCTTTTTCCCAAGCCGCTAAGCCGCTTATCAGCTGATGGCTAAGCCGCTTATCAGCTGATCTTTAAGCCGCTTAACAGCTGATGCTAAGCCGCTTATCAGCTGATCGTTAAGCCGCTTATCAGCTTATCTTTAAGCCGCTTATCAGCTGATCTTTAAGCCGGCTAAGCCGCTAATACTGTAGCGCTAAGCCGCTAAACCTCTAATGGGCTTGCTTCGCAAGACGAAAAAACCCGCAAGATGAAGAGACTCGCGGAACAGATTCTTTTCGTCTTGCGAGGCACCACTGTATTTGTCCAGGTTTTGTGCTTAGTCTGACCTGTCTGCCGACTGCCTGTAGTGTTTCTATTTACAAGAATGCTGCTTTGTTTTAAAATGTGTTATATTGGATTAATTTTGTTTTTCCTTTTCCCCCACGTACTACTTGCCCTCTGATGGAAACAGGAGAGGAGGGCAGGCAAGGAGGTGAGGGCACCATCCCATACCTGCCTGTGGATCAACTCAGAGCTGGCCCTCCTGCTGCTCTTTTCCTTCTCCATTCATGTTCCAAAGAATTAAAAGGTCCTCCATTTTCCCAGGAAGAAGACTTAAGACAACTTATTAGGTTTAAATATAATGAATCAGAGACTCTATCAATCAGCCAAATAACTAAGTACGGAAGGAATAAATGATGACATAAGAGGGAAGCTGGGTTTGTAAGCCAGCTGGTTATTTGCTCCTCAGCCAAGGGTGGGGAAAGTGTCTCCCTGCTGTCCAGGGTTCACCATGATGTGCAGACCAAGTACCTGCAAGCCTCCACCTGTGGGTGATGACACAGGAGTACCTCTTACTTTCCCCATCATGTCTCAGGGGAGCCGTGAATTAAGGGCTCACCTTTCCTCACCTGCTGCACTGAATGCCAAAAAAGGCAAAGAATGCCAAATCAGCACAAACTGAACAGTGTGAAACAGGCAAAAGCAGGAAGTCCCAAATGCCAATTAGGAGCTCCCCACCCCTGTTTCTACTCAGCACCATAAAAGACGGCTAGCCAAAGTCCACACTATAAAGGGAAGGAGGGAGGGCAGTGTAGAAGAGTGGGCGGAGTAGCCTTAAATACCAGACTAGCCTGCACACTCCCACTGGTCTCTCAGGCCCACCTGGTTTCAGGCCCTGTCCCAAAGAAAAAGACCACCTTGAGGTCTCTTTACCCAAGTGGGAGGGGGCATGAGGCAAATCCACATGCACCACTGAAATCCCCACTCAGCCACGACGCTCACTGCGGTGACCTTTGGCCCATCACTGCCTCTCTCAGTGTAACCTACCTCACAGGGTTGTTGTGGGGATTAAATGAGGGAGAGAACCATGAAAAGCTCCTTGGAGAAAAAGGTGAGAGACAAATAAAATAAATAACACAAGTGTGGAAAGCCATTAACTTTCATTTCTTTCTTCTTCTTCTTTGCCTTTTATCATTCTGTTTTTCAAAGGCTCTCGTCTCTCCCCACCCCAATGCATTTTCTTGTGGGCCCATCCCTTACATGGCTTTAATTTTTAAAATGAAAGATTTGTAGCTTAACCACTGCATTTTAAAAATGACTGTTGTACATTGCTTTGGGGACTCTGGTCCAGCCAATGACTGGGATATAAATCAAATGACTGTCTGTCTGCCTAACTGAAAGAATGAAGACTCAAGTGCCTAGATTATTGTTTTTTCTTCTCTCAGGGAGTTATCCTGAGTTTACATGAGCTCTTAAGAGCCCCATGACTCAAATGTCACGACAAGGCATCAAGAAAAATGGGAGTGGAGAACCATGTACCTTACTCTTGTTCCTGAATCACTAATTTGTACAGTTTGGCAGAGCTCACAACTGAGCATCAGTGACGAAGAAGCAACTCCAGGCAGTTGCTGCTCACTCTCTCCCTTGTGCATTTCATGACTTTTAAAATTCGGGATGTGTAAGAGAGCATTCTTGGGCATAATAGCTCCCGCTCAGATTACTGCACCAAAATTTCCTTCCCTCAAAATGAATCTTCCAGCCCCTTGTTACCCAGACATAAAAATAGCACAGCAGGCCAAAGTGCAACCAATAATGCTGCTGCCTGCCAAACAATGAACAGGATGGATTCTCCTTTTGCAAAAATATCAGTCTTCATATTGGCAACAAATAAGATGACTATTGAAGGGTGAATAATTCCAATGGGTTGTTGTTGTTGTTGCCAGCGGGAGGGAGGCCCACAGCTGCATACAACATCTTAATGAGCAGAAAGACCACAGTGCCTCAGGAAATCATCTTCCAAAGGCCAAACCATGTGTTATCCCTTTGCCATAGAACATCAGCAACAGTTTCAATACCAAAAGAACATGTGAACTGAAATGCAGCCATCCTTTGTAATTTGCATTTCTCTGAACTGCAATTCTCCTGCCACATAATGTGTGCAAAAAATACTTCCCTGCAAAGGTAGATAAATGCTCAAATAATCTTCTTTGGAAAGGTTCTGATGAAGAACAAGATGAGTCAATTAAAGACTTTGTGAGGAAACAGAATGTGGAGTTCAATACAAGGTGACATGGGAAAGGGAGGGATCTGCTATACAGGACTAGCTCCTCATGCTACAGATTCTACAGATACAACTTCTATAAAAAATGGCCTGTAGTGAACACATACTGCAGCACGCACACACCATGCTGGTGTCAAAATGGCTGTTCTGTTGTGGTTTGGCAATCTATTGTGGATGCTTTATTCAGAATTCCCTGCAGGCACACATAGTAAACAAGGAGGTGGGTGAAGCTAAAAACGTAGGATAAATTGCTTTGTGTAAAGAAGTATTCATTCAGAATAACACAGTGAATTTATAAGCTCAAGAACAGGTCTCACTTCATGTATCACCCACCAATCTACCTGCAAGGCAGAGTTGCAAATACCCAGGTGACACCATTAGAAAAAAGTATATGGTACAGATAGGGATGGAATGTTCTAAACATCTTGATGTGGGCTAATCTGCACATTTCATTGGAGATGTGTTATAGCTCAGTGGTTGAACATCTGCTTGGCATGCAGAAGGTCCCAGGTTCAATTCCTGGAATCTCCAGATGGGGAAATAATCTCTGTGTGGAATTGTGGAGAGCCTCCATATAGATAATAATGGACCAAGGGGTCTAACTCAATAAAAAGCAGCCTCCAACATCAGCTGGACTCGTTTGGTTATGTTAAAATCTACATTTCTTAAAATGAACAATTGCAGTTGTTGGATCACATATCAGGCACATGCAATGTATACATATAGGGCACTGTTTGTGTGTTGTGCAATATACAAATTCTGTACATAGTTCAATATATACATTACTATTTTTCTAGAAAAAAAGAGGTGGTGGAATGCCTCCCTCATTCTCTTAGAATGGCAATGGCACCCACCTGAGAGGTGCTGGAACTGAGTTCTGGTGAGTTCCAGCTAGAAAAAAGCCCTGAATACAAACTCACTGGTTTTTGTATTCCCAACCACAATAACTTCAACCCTAACTCTCCTCCCTCCCAGTCCCAGGCCACATCTACTGATCATCACCAGGTCGAGCTGACAAAGACCTCATACTGGAACCTTAGCGCATGGGTGGGGAACCTGTAGCCCTTCAGATGATACTGGACTCCAGCTTCCATTATCCTAGACGATCAGCTATGCTGCCTGGACCTGATGGAGGTTATAGTCCAAATGCCTGAATAGCTCAGTTGGTAGAGCATAGGCTTCTTAATCTCTCAGGATCATGGGTTTGAGCTCCAGGTTAGGCAAAAGATTCCTGCATTGCAGGGATCCCTTCCAACTCTATGATTGTATGAAATTTGGAAGGCATCGTGCTGCTTCCCCCTGGCCAAGAGTGGATTGAATGACATTTTCCTCCATCCCTATCAAACAGACAGGAAGTAGCAATGAGTCTACATCATCAGTCAGAAGTCTCAAGTGGCAAATATAATTTCAGGACCATGGACTGAGGCTAACATGCAATTGAACAAAGAGCCAAGAGCAGGGGGAGCTAATGTGGTCTGTCCAGATGTTTTTGAACTACAACTCTCATAATACCTAATCATTTGCCATGCTGGTTGGAGATGATGAGAGTTCTAGTCCAACAACATTGGGAGATGCTCCATTGGCTACCCCTGGCCTAGAGTATAGCTCCAGAATTGATCAGAACCCTACTGAAAGTTTAAATAGTAATGCACAGGGCAAGGGGGTGATCTTGGCCCTGCATTTCTGGAGAAGAACCGTCATTTGAGGGGGAAACACTTGGGAACTTGTAGCCCTCCAGATTTTATTAGACACCAGCTCCCATCATGCCTGGCCATTGGCTATGCTGTCTGGAGCTGATGGGAGTTGGAGCCTAAGAACATTCCTGGCTCTCAAAGCAGACAAATGTGTGCAAGATGGATTCAGTGCTCTGGTTCAGTTTGAGGAAGCTTCTTTATGACTTCTTGGCTCCCTGCTCTTATTTGTTTGTTTGCCCATAGGATGAAAACTGTCGTCTTTGGCTAATGCATGCCATAAATCAAGGAAGAAGAATTATGGATGCAAGGGAACTGCTGTGAAATTATCAGTGAACCCATTTAGCTGATGAGAGCAGCTTTTAATTTACTCTACTTTTATTTTCTGCTTTCTTCCAGCCCTTCCTGAAGCAATGCTAACCCTTTCTCCTCCATCAGTCATTGACCAAGTAATGACCCTCCAACTTGCAGGTTAAATTGTTGCACAGTTAATTGCAGTAATAGGTTAAGACCAAATAATTAATGAAGGGATGTTCATTGTGGCCAGTCAGGCATGGGAGGCCATAAATTCTGTCTAACAGAGTTGAGTGCCAGCATTCTTGCATGGACAATAAAATGAACTCTGGGCAGGAAAGAGGTGTTTAAGCATTAAACAGTGTGGTCTTTTCCAGCGAAATTCTCATACACTGCTACTTCATCCTTCACTTAAATCAGAATAAAATGAAAAGGGGAGGGGTTTCTATATTTCTGAGCAATAAATAGAAGCATCTTGCTAATATTTGCTTTTTGAGGGGTAATTAAATTCAAGGTTTGGAATTGAAAACAAAACTGCAAATATGGTAGTGCCATTATAAAAATCATTGGTACACATTGGTATAGTGTAGAGTTGAAAAAGTTTCAGAAGAGGGCAAGCTCAGTGATCGAGGCAATGGAGCAACTTCCCATTGAGGAAAGGCTGCAGCACTGGGAACTTTTCAGTTGAAAGAGAAGGCAAGTGAGAGCTGACATAAGAGAAGTTATAAAATTATTAATTGCATGGAGAAGGTGGATGGAGAAAAGTTTTTCTCCCTCGTTCAGAAGCTCTAATGCGTCTGAATGTCTGGAATCCATGGAGGGGAAAGTGCTCTTGTGGTCAGGTCCTGCTTGCTGGTTTCCCACAGGCATCCGGTTGGCCATTGTGAGAACAGGGTGCTGGTCCAGATAGGTCATTGGCCTGATCTTGCAGATTCTTATGTTCTTAAGTCTCACTGATTTCAATGGTGGGGGGAGAGAGAAGCTGTGCATTTGTTTGAGGCTGCAGTTCTATGCACTCTTACCCAGGAGCAAGTCCTATTGAGCGCAGTAGACCTATGTAGTATTGCATTTTGACTCTCTCCCTCCAGAATCAAGTGTCCCAATCTGGTCAGATTTCATATATATATATATATATATTGCTTTTTTTAAAAAAAAAAGCACCTTAAGGTGGTCTGATAATGAATGGCCAACATGAGGCTGCAGTCACACCCAAAATGCTACAAGCAGAAGATAAAATGATTAAGGCAACAGCACTGCTTAAAAGGATCAGTGGAATTAAATTGATCAAAAGCAGATTATTAGAATCCTAGAATCACAGTATCATACAATTGTATATTTGGAAGGGGTCCCTAATGATCATCTAGTCCAACCATGTGTAGTGCAGGAATCTCAACTAGATTATACATGACAGATGGCCACCCAACCTCCACTTACCATATCTCCTCACAGTCTCCTCTTTTCTAGGCTAAACACACCCAGCTCCTTCAACTGTTCTTCATAAGGCTTGGTTTCCAGACCCTTAATCAACTTGGTGGTCTTGCTCTGGGCACATTCCAGCTTCTCAATATCCTTCTTAAATACTGGACACAGTATTCCAGGTGTGGAATACGCCCTTAGGAAATGGGGTGGGCACAACTTCCATGTGGCAAGCGTGGCTGTTCTCTGAAATGGGTAAGCAAACAGGAGCTGCTTCTGGAAGGCTGGGCGTGAGGTCTCTGTTCATGCCTGTGCTGGTGTCCCTGTGTTTCAGGTTTTTCTTCCCCAAAAACCTGTATCATATCACTTTCCATTTGTTTAGCACATTTAAAGAAAGCTTCCCTTCTCTATTTCATTTTCTAAAATATGTTTTTATTGATTTTCCAGTATTGTTCCAATATCAGCCTCATTATAACAGTACCAATTTTATCCAATTGATGCAATTATTAATGCCAATTAGTCCAATGTCAAATTATATAATTTAATCAAACTGGCCTCCCTGCATGCTAGATTTGATTACAGTGGTACCTCAGGTTAAGTACTTAATTCGTTCCGGAGGTCCGTTCTTAACCTGAAACTGTTCTTAACCTGAAGCACCACTTTAGCTAATGGGGCCTCCTGCTGTTGCCGTGCCACCAGAGCACGATTTCTGTTCTCATCCTGAAGCAAAGTTCTTAACCTGAGGTACTATTTCTGGGTTAACAGAGTCTGTAACCTGGAGCGTATGTAACCTGAGGTACCACTGTACTTATTATGCATTTTTGTGGGGTTCCAAAATCTTAATAATTTTCATTCCATTCCATTCAGATATAATAATCCTTTATATAACAGCTGCAATCTTGTGATTTCATTCATGTTGGTATAATAGGTAATTTATAAAGTTTCAGGTGAGAAACTCTAAATGTAATCCTTATTCTTTTCTGTGTGTGACAGTCCCCCCCCCTTGATGTTTTACCGTCCATTGTGTTATATTCTTCATTCCTACAACTGTTGATGGTTCCCGTCATGCCTCGGGAAAAGCAGTTATCTCGCAGTTTCCAAAAGTCACTGCATCACTTCGTCCCATGATTTGGCTTCTAATAAACAAGCCATCTTCGCCGTATTTCCAGCATAGGAAGAATGGTCTGAATTCAGATTGCAAATAGTTAATCCAAAAGCTTCTATTCCTGCAGCTGATAGACACATTTCTTGCTTACCGCCGATTTATGGCCAATTGTCCTTATCTCAAACACATTCCTTTGTGGATAATGGAGGTTAGGGAGGACCTTACTCCATATTTTCAAAGTGTAGTGTCCCCCCCCCTTCCCTCTCAGTTCCTTTCTCTCACACACATAGTTCCAGTTCTGTTAAATTCCATATTATATTCCAATTTCTTCCTTCCTCACTTGTATAGATATTTTTTAAAAGAACTTGTATTCCAGGGAGAGTTGCTGTATCATAAATGTAGAGAAAATCTTTGATATAAGCAAACTGTAGGCTCCCCTCCTCCCATCATCTCGTTCACTGAATGAAAACCCCTCTCAATCCAAACTTTTTTAATCCTTGTGGCTTGGTTCATTTTTGCAATTTCTTATCTCACTGTCTCTAGCACACACCTGTAAAAGTAAAGGTAAAGGGACCCCTGACTGTTAAGTCCAGTCGCAGACGACTCAGCGGTTGCAGCACTCATCTCACTTTATTGGCCAAGGGAGCCGGCGTACAGCTTCCGGGTCATGTGGCCAGCATGACTAAGCCGCTTCTGGCAAACCAGAGCAGCGCACGGAAACGCCATTTACCTTCCCGCCAGAACGGTACCTATTTATCAACTTGCACTTTGACGTGCTTTCAAACTGCTAGGTTGGCAGGAGCAGAGACCAAATAATGGGAGCTCACCCCGTTGCAGGGATTTTAACTGCCAACCTTCTGATCGGCAAGCCCTAGGCTCTGTGGTTTAGACCACAGCGCCCAATTAAAAAAACCCAATTATCAGAATAACCTAGAATCATAGAATCATAGAATCATAGAGTTGGAAGAGACCACAAGGGCCATCGAGTCCAACCCCCTGCCAAGCAGGAAACACCATCAGAGCACTCCTGACACATGGTTGTCAAGCCTCTGCTTAAAGACCTCCAAAGAAGGAGACTCCACCACACTCCTTGGCAGCAAATTCCACTGTCGAACAGCTCTTACTGTCAGGAAGTTCTTCCTAATGTTTAGGTGGAATCTTCTTTCTTGTAGTTTGGATCCATTGCTCCGTGTCCGCTTCTCTGGAGCAGCAGAAAACAACCTTTCTCCCTCCTCTATGTGACATCCTTTTATATATTTGAACGTGGCTATCATATCACCCCTTAACCTCCTCTTCTCCAGGCTAAACATGCCCAGCTCCTTAGCCGTTCCTCATAAGGCATCGTTTCCAGGCCTTTGGCCATTTTGGTTGCCCTCCTCTGGACACGTTCCAGTTTGTCAGTGTCCTTCTTGAACTGTGGTGCCCAGAACTGGACACAGTACTCCAGGTGAGGTCTGACCAGAGCAGAATACAGTGGCACTATTACTTCCCTTGATCTAGATGCTATACTCCTATTGATGCAGCCCAGAATTGCATTGGCTTTTTAGCTGCCGCCTCACACTGTTGGCTCATGTCCAGTTTGTGGTCAACCAAGACTCCTAGATCCTTTTCACATGTACTGCTCTCAAGCCAGGTGTCACCCATCTTGTATTTGTGCCTCTCATTATTTTATTTTTTTGCCCAAGTGCAATACTTTACATTTCTCCCTGTTAAAATT